ATATCACCTTGTTGTTTTTTAAATTTAACAAAAGACATCAACAATAGGAAAAATAGGAAACAAAACTGTTGTGCATGAACAAACATTTCTAATATGTAGATGAAAAGATATGTGACTCAGTAAAGTATTGCCACAGGGGACTTTAGGATTTCTGTCCGTCCATCTGTATTTATTAGTTAAATATTTGGGTATCAAAAAAAATTGTAGCATAATTTATGTCAAACACTCCCCAGTATCTGTTTCAGATCAGAGCTGCCTTCATTTAGGATAAGAAAAACATGTTATCAGTTAGAAACAAGACAGCAACGCTGGCCCTGTGAGCTCTACACATTATTAAAATGGCCATACTCAGGTAAATATCAGTTGCAGACTCTAGGTAAAATGAAGGTCATAGTCATTGTGACAAAATATCTCCAGTTTATGCAAAGTGCACTGAATAAAACAAGAAAAAATGGTCATGAATCAAATGAAAGTTTGGGTAAAACTAAATATAGTCCATTAAACCCTCTGTAATGAGGGGAGTCTTCTTGAGGGGTTGAAGAAATAAAAACAACACTTAGTCTCCACTGAGGTGCTGTACTTGCATAGTTTGTGAGTTGTGTTTTGGTTAGTAAATCCCTCAAGTGCCACTTTAAGAGCTCTTATCTATCAAGGCAAAAAAGTTCTGAGAAATGTCAAGGTACTCTAAGGGTCAATGGTTAAATCGCCCCTGAAAAAACTTTTTTGGGGAAGGTTAATAAATTTATAAATAACTTGTTTTCTCAGAACTACCACATGTAAAGTACCAGTTTGGTTGCTATTTGGCAGCATTAAGCATGGTACAATCTTAGACTGTGTATGTACTATGGACAACTACCCTCCGCCCTCCATCATTATACGAATTTGAAGCTGAATTGCTCTCGGTATTTACCTGATTTTCTCAAATTCCTGGGACCACCACTTACGCAGTAGCGTTGTACGCATTCAGCGGGAGAGTCGCTCTGATGATGCTCCTCAAACAGCATATCCCCCAGGTGAGCTACATAAAACTTCATACAAGAGCTGCAGCTATCGAATATTCTACCGAATATTCTATCGATTACTCGAATAATTGGACCCAAACGGCAGACTCACATAAAGTTAGATTTCCTATAGCCCCCCAATTAAGGCCAGACTCAGAGAAATAGAGGACAATTGCGGAACAAGCGTGTGCATTAGCGGATTGCAATGCTCGTAAGAAAGCTAATTATGATATTAACTTTCATCATGCCCCTAAAGACACAAGTGTCTGAGAGCTCAACAGCTCTGATGTGACCTGCTTCTGCTATAACACCAGCAATGTTAGGCTAAAAGCTAGAGTGAAGAGAAGTGTGCAGAGCAGCACTGTCTCCACCCAGGACTCAGAGGCTAAGTGCTAATGAGCTACTGGAGCTTTGCAAAGGAAAAGTTTGTCCACAACTCCATAGGGATTGCTGGAGGAGGCGGTATTTATGACCTATACTGCAGCCCGTCACTGGAGGGGGCTGTTCTTGCGGTGGCTTCACCCAACGAGGAGGGAGACGGCGTCTATTCTATATACAGTCTTCGGGTAGGACTGAAGAATTAGGCTTACAAAGTCAACAGTGATAATATTACTTGTAACACATTTTTATAAACCCACTGGGATCACCGGGTTAAAAGAGCTCCACCTCATTGATGGGGAAAATTTGATAGCCAAGTGGTTGAAATGCCTCATGCATAGGGGCCTTGGTCCTTGTTGCAGCAGTCATTCGCGACTCCCAGCCTCAACCCTTTGTCACATCTCCTACTCTCTGCTCCCTGTGTTTCCTGTCTCTCTCCAGCTTTCCTATCCAATGAAGGCAGAGATGCCAAAAATCATACATTTAAAAAAATAAAAATAATAAAAGGTAGATGCAATTTAATAAAATGCTTTTATATTCAACACAACTGCAGATTTATCCAACTAAAATGGCTTGATGAAATTCATCATCACAGTACTGATAAAGCCTGATATTTAATAGAAAGTTCTGTATAAATCTTTTAGTTTTTTTCTGATTAAACATTCAGTGTCTGCAGGAGAAGATTAGCAGACTTATAATTTCTAAAGGGACTTACTTTTATTATCCCCTCTGATTCAGTGATTTGGAAACTGGCACACTTGATGAATCATTCTGGTAACAACCTGATGTGAAAGCCAGATAAAGGTGATGTGTCAGGGTGAATGGCTGCTGCCTATAAGCCACCAGTTGGACATTATCTGCATCACTGCAGATGTGCAATAAAAAGTGTTCAGTACATCATTTGAAGGTCTTTATTCCTGGCTGCTACACACCCACATTGAAAAACAAGCTGAAGCATCTTTGTCAAACAAAGTCACTCATTTCAGATCAGTAAAAATGATCAGACAACATAGCTGTGAAACTGCAGCACTCTGTGACCTGAAATCCTGTTATTTTGGTGGAGTATCAGCCATTTTTAGTCAACTTGTGCTATCTATTTTTAGATTGCACATCCTCAGATCTTCATGCAATTGATTCTGATGAGGTCAGGTCAGTTTATGCTCACTGAAAAAAAGATACCTGAGGTTTCATATTAAAACACCGAGAAGCTCTGTTCTGAAATATCATCCTAACTGTTCTCTTTTCTCATTGCAACAGTAGAACTCATTCACTTTCCTCAAAAGAAATTTTCCCAGCATATCATGTGACAAGAGTCAACAACTTTTTCAAGCCTGCATCATGCCCACAATAGTGTCACGGGCTGTCAGAATAATACACACGCCACACTTTTAGAACTTTTCAGCAAAACGGTGATAGAAACAGAAAGAGCCTTTGCCGTTTTATTTTGCAGTGGTGGTTCAGTCTCTTGCGGAAATTGGAGTTGAGAGTGGGCAATGATTGACAGCTCCAAGTGGCTGCTCTGTCCCACCTCAAATCTATTTTTGTATGTGGCCAGATCAAAGCATGCCAGCAGGACAACAGACAGGGAGCAGGCAGCCAGCGACAGAGGGACACATTGGCAGACAGCCAGGGAAACCAATATCAGCATCGTACACACACACACACAAAAAAAAAAAAAAAAACACTCATCCACCATCTCTGAGATCCTGAAAGGGAACTAAAAACAAACTGTCAGTGTCTCTGTCTATCTGGTGTGTGTATTTGAGCGTGTGTGTGTTCGTGTGTGTGTGTGTGTGTATCATCTGTTCTTGCTGGCTAAATGAAACAAGATCCCTGCTTGCTGGCTGAGTGTGTATCGCCAGCAGATACCAGAAATAACATGCAATGGATGTAACTCAGGTCATAACCTGGCTGGCAGCACTGTGCTAATCTGCTCAGTCATATTGTAACAAAATGACATGACTTGTTTTCTGTGATTGCATGGATAAAGGTGATGCAACAGTTCACATGTCCTAATGGTATAAAGGCTAGGACAGTAATAAGTTGGCAGGAAAGAAACAAAAAGAGAATGATACTAAAGTTGGTTTTAGGTTTATATGGTATTGAAAATCAATTTTGATACGCCTGTATTTTTTTTTTTCAGTAAGAATAAGGCCTTTTTTCTGTTTGTGATGTGTCTATCATGAACGAACCGGTTCAAAGAGCCGGCTCTTTAACGTGAACGATGGGAGCCGGCCCTGTCTGTGTTGTAGAAAAAAAACTGCAAGGCAGAATGATGGGATTTCTATCTGCTTTGTGTAGCAGAGTGGTTCTACAAGCAAGTCAGTGCATTCATTGGGTGGTTTGAGAGTTACAAGGGTCCGTAAATGCAGTGAAAACAATTGGCTACAGCAATTTACTGATATTAGAAAATGTAATTTTTACTTGTGAATACTTATGTACAAAGGATGTTTTGAATTATTTGAGAGGTATGTGTAGACATATGAAAATGTATAAGTGGTAAAATGAAGAGCCATTTGGGAGCCGAATGAGCCGACTCTTCTTGGTGAGCTGAGCTGAATGATCTGGCTCATTAAAAAGAGCTGTAATTCTCATCACCACTCTCTGTTGTAAAACTGAACCAGAAAACTAATTTATTTGCTATATATTAATGTGTAATGACATATAAATGCAGGTTTGAAATTTTTATCAATCTTTAGACCTCCAACTGTCCATTACTATCAAAGCTTATTAAACATATCATATGACCTGCTTGCTTCAAGATGCAAATTTGAAATTAGCCTCAATTACCTCGAGTAGCTCTCAAAAATATGAAATAATGACAAACTGGAATGCAGAATCGAAGCACAGAGACTGAGACCAGAGTCTGTGTTACCCTGTAACAGAGGTGACAGAGCTGGTCACTGTGAATTTGATATGACACTTCCTCAGAACCAAGCCAGCTAATACGGTTAATATAATGTATATTAACACACCCAGCAGTGAGCTATAAACTGTACTCACTCCAGTGGGGGTGGGGCTTTATCACTCCATGTTTCAGTAATCATTCAAACAACACAAAGTGCCAATTTTAGCCCTGTAGCTGTCAATCAAAAAGATCATTTTCTAAACAAGTTGAAACAAACTTTGTAACAAGGACACAGTGTCATAATGACTTTCAGAGGGACACCTCTGATTCACTGCAGCTGTCTAAGCTTCCTAACTTCCTGACTGAGTGACTGACTGACTGAGAGTGACAAAATAATGATCTAATTTCAGGATAAAATTGATGATACACTTGCTGTCTTTTAATATCAGTATCCAGTTCATAGCAGAGCACTACAAGACTTTTTATGGGACATATCCTGTGGGCATACGTTAATATATGGGCTCATAAAGACATGGTCTAAAATAAAAACTGTAAATCTGCTAGCTGGAAACACCTTTAACACAAGGGGGTGTTAAATGCAGGTTAAATGTTCTGATCTCTGACTGATCCAGACTTAATGTCGAGTGCCTGGTTTTCCCAAACACCCTCTTAGCACTGAGATTAGGTCCACTCCAAGGACTTACACAGAAACAGAGTTGATCACAGTGCTTACATAGCTCATGGGATATTTAGTGTGGAGGCTTTTCACCAATATGGAATGTAAGTCACTTGACTGCTGTTACTGTTGATCTGTGTGCATCTGCTGCTGCCCCTGCCTCCCTCTTATCTCATCTCCTTGTTTATTCTCTATTTCTGAGTCATATTAAAAAGGTTTCAGCACACTGGTTGGAAGCCAGAGAAATGTTTGGTGTATGAATCACAGTTAAATGAAGTCTGCTTACTTTCCTCTAGCTTTAGCTGTGATTTCTGTTTGGATGCAACCAAGTTGTTAACTATATATATATATATTTTTTTCTACAATCAACGTGGATGCCGATAGCTAAGGGGCAGGTCGGCCAATAACCAATAATGCCAATATCATGTTGTTTTTGTTTGTTTCTTTCATTTGATAAATTACATCATTTTTTTTAATACCATCCATTTTGCCATACACATAATATTATATCCATGGTCATTTTCACAAAAAAACATGTTTGTGATGGTTTCAATTAGTTCATTGAATAGAAAAAACACTGGGTTGTGCTAAATTTCAGAACAGTTATGTGAGAGACAGTATCAAACTGCATTGTTCTTTACATCATAACAGAATTGATATTAAACGCTTGTCAGTAAGTGTTTTTGATTGAATATGTTGCCATTTAACATGGGAAAAATATGTTATCATTCAAGAGGACATTAACATTGCTTGATAATGTCATTATCCTATATTTTACCTCAGCAATGAGTAGATGTAAAAAATTGAAGTGGAATCTAGTCACACAGACAAGGCTGCCAGCACATTATCTGTTTAATTCTTAGTTAATTAATCAGCCCAACCAACTAATCTGTCTATCTGTAGTGTCGACACTGGTGGAGACGTGGGCATCAACAGAGTATAAAACGTTTGGCATGCTTTTCCATGTCATGGCAGTGGAAAAGAGAAACAAAAATAGAGAAAGTTGTGCGGTTGTGAACCTTCAGTCTATGTATGGCATAAATGACATATCCCAGCTGATTCACAGAGGATGAGCATTCTGAAATACAGAGAAAAAACAAATGTGCCTGACTTCATTTTTGTGTATGTGTGTTCTAGGTCCAGTCCTCTGCTCAGAAGACGAGACTCGTCTGGTGAAAGACCTGTTTCTGGTTAACAGTTACAACAAGGTGGTTCGGCCTGTGAACCACTTCAGTGAGGCCGTAGTGGTCACAGTGGGACTGCAGCTAATACAGCTTATCAGTGTGGTGAGTGAGAGTGAAAAAGTCACAACTAGCAACGGTATATCATGTATAGGGATGTAATGATATGAAAATTTAACATTACGATTATTGTGACCAAAATTATCATGGTTATCAATATTATCACAGTAATGTTGAAATATGTTCAAAATGTTTAAAAAGTACTTATACATGCCCTGAAATCATGAAACAAAGTTTTATTTTGAAAAAAAAACAATCAAAGTAACATGCAGAATGAACTTTTCCTTAACCTGAAATAACAGAGGAATGATGAGCTTGAAAAATTAAAGATGGGGCCTTAAAAGAGCCAGAAGTAATCAACACTAGTACTAGTAACAACAAAGTACAAAGTAATGTGCCAGTGGCATAAACATTAACATGATAACAAATAAATAGAATTTAAATAAAATGACATTCCTTACTGTGCAAATTGTAAGAATCCTCAGTGCTCAAAAAGATCTACTCTTACAACTATAAAACAGAGCAACACTACTTTATAAAACAATACAACCACATGTAAACAAATGTGTAGTGTAGGTGTTTAAAATAACATAAAGTATGTAAATAAATCAAATGAACCACACCAATTGTCGGTTTTCTCCACCATAAGGTGCTGCTGCTGACTTTGTTCACTACTTGAGACTGAAATGTAAAAATTTCTGCATATTTACTTGGTCTGGTTTGAGTAGTGATCTGCGAGGGTAAACAATGTGCCCGCTGGCACTGAATAGCCTCTCGGATGGCATGCTGGTTGCTGGGATGCACAAAGCTTGCTGGCAACCCTTTGTAGAGGCAGAAATACACCCAGACTTCGGACTTTGTTTTCTTTGACAACGGAAAATCTCTGCAACATGGTCGGCACAAATGTCCGCAAAACTGCCCTCCGCCATGTTTACAAGTTGTATACTGCACAATGCGAATGCGCGCGGCGCGCCTGTGTTCGAAGGACTGCTGTGTGCGGCTGCTCTTCTCAGCACTGAGCAGTCTGTGAGCTTTTCCAGAGTGGGGCAATCAAACACGGTTTTGACGGTAATTAAAATCTGAAACAGTAGTACTAACCGTCACACATTTTACCGCGGTTTATCATCATTACATCCCTAATCATTTAGTTATACCAATTATGCTCATAGTTGTATCTCCATGACTTAAGGCTTGTAGGCTTCTTCTAAATGTAAATGTCTGACTATAAAGGCTATCTCCGACTTCATTTCTATTTTACACAAAGAAAAAAATTAACATCCGTTTCAACTGCAACAAAGCCGTTACAAAAGTCGCATGCATTTGCAACTACTGGAGCTACTGGAGCTTGTAGAGTGTGCACCTCTATCCAGTTAATTAAAAAACAAAACAAACAAACAAAAAAAAAAACGATGACCTCATAACAACTGGATAAAGACTCACAAAATTTAATGTGCCAGTCTCCTTGGTGAGAAAGGTTGCTAAAATCATTTTTAAAATAGACAGACATTTCGATGCTGTGATCATACTGTGCAAATCATCAAGAACCCTTGCAGAAATCCAGTAACAACGCATCAAGATGACTGACACCTAACCACATTATGCTGTTATAGAAAAGTTCCTCTTTCATTAACTCGGTCAGCAGCCTCTGTGAAGTGCACCTCAAAACCTGAATAACAACAACCACAAGGACTCAGGGATGGCATGGTGGCCACAGCAACACAAGAGAATGACATGCAAATTGCAAAAAATGTACTTTTTGTGCTTGCAGCTCTCTTTCTGTATCACAAGCCTTTGATGAGCAACCAATATATGACCCTGGGTTCAGTCCTCTGATGAGACAGACGCGTTCGGTTTAGAGTTTGCATGTCTGAATACTTGGCACCTTGCTAAATGTTTCAAGTGGTAACTAAAGCTCCTATTTTAAATAAACACCTAATGTGTCACATTATGATCATTTGATACTCAATTTCAGCATCTTACAAGATGACACCCATTACTCTTTGTCTTTACTTGAACTAAGCAACTCTTTGCAAAAACTACTTTATGGTAAAATGTACAACATAAAACAGAGATACTGTGAAATGTGCCACCCATTTCACAGTTTGGCAACTATTTGTAGCTCTCCTTCTGCATCCTTGATTAACTCCACCAGCCTGTAAAGATGGGTACCACAGCTAAAATGTAGCTTGATTTGGCACCCATTTTACCCACTTTAAAACTGAAAGTACCCTTTCATCTCAAGCTCTTGCCAGCATGTTGTCAAGCACGAGGTACAGCACACTACAATATAGAGGTGCAACCGATCAAAAAACTCACGTTCCGATTGTTTCTCTGATCAGAGTCACAGATCGGATCATTTTTCCGATCAGCAAAAAAACAGACGTCCACTCGTCTGTTTGTGAGCGCAACAGAAGATGCTCAGGATGGTTCATCCACAACTTTTTTAAAGACTAAAGATCTGGCACATTCTTTTCCCTGAGGTGGGTGCGCAACAGGACGCTGTAAAATGACTCCAGCACTTTCAGTATATGTTTAAGCCCTCGTTTAGCACAACCGAATATGGCCTCAAGTCTGCAGCTATACTCACACCGATAGCGTTTGTGATGGCTGTAGCCCGATCGGATTGTGAAGCAAGGGGCTACTTGCCGCGGTGATAAGCGGTTGTTAAGCAGCCTTTGTTTTCACTCTTGCAAGTGAAACACTGGGGTGATCTCGCTTCAAATGTGTGGCCATGCTTGATGTGTTTGCACTGTCATATGGCTCGCCATATGACCATGCTGCTCTCCACATGCGTGGGGACTGAACATACTCAAACCCTTTTTTTTTTTTCATAAACCAATCTGTGGATCACATGTGTGCGGAACCAAAGGTATTGAGCCAAACGGATCCTGGATCAATGATGATCCGTGGCGTCACTACTGAAGTATGGTACTGAGTTTGCAAAATCAACAAAAGCCAATAAACCCTCTCAAAAGTTGGTCGAATATTTGATAATATGCCACAGATCTCATTCATGCATGTCTCTTTCACCTCGTAGCGCATTATACAAAACTCAAGTGCACATGTGTGGCCGCTTCACGTTCAAAGAGACGCAATTGTAATTGTAAGACTTCTCAATGCAAAGCTCCTGAGGGAAGATGTCGTTCCTTGTGAAAGCTTTTAGAGTTAACTAAAATCAAATATGGAAATTTAACAGTGTATCTTTTTAATGCTTACTGGCATACATTTTATAATTTGTCCATAACGCTCACTATTTTTCTGTCCTTTCTGTACCTTTAAGGATGAAGTGAACCAGATCGTGACCAGTAATGTTCGACTCCGACAGGTAAAATTGCTTTAAAATCTACTGTATGTATTTAAAAAAAAAAAAACAATCACTGCTCATAATGAATGGTTTTTAGGATTTAGGTTGTACTGGGCATGCTACAATGCAAATGATGAGTTTAAAAAGAGAGAGAATAATGTCTCAGATTTTATGATAAATGTTTTGTTTTGTTTTTTCTGTGGAAGGCCTACATTAATGATTATTTTAGTCAAACATTTGTTACCCAGTTAATGTACTGCAAATGTTAGCTTATTGGTACTTACTTTCTATCAAGTGGTTCTTTTTAATTTACTTTTACAGTATTTCTGAAATCAGATCCACAAATTGAACCACAAATGAATGTTTAATGTAAATTTAACATAACTGAGAGAGAGGATGGTTTAGATGATTGGATATTTATTGTAAAGAAAAGAAACAGGACAGGTGATGGGTGATGATTTTAAAATATACAGGTATTTTATTGTGATATGAACTGGGTATCAGCATATTAGATTTGCACACTGATGAAGTGAATATGAGTGAAGTAATTCTAATGTTATCATCATGTATTTTATCCCAGCAATGGGTAGATGTGAATCTGAAGTGGAATCCAGATAACTATGGTGGCATCAGAAAGATCAGAATCCCCTCAACAGACATATGGAAACCTGACCTGGTGCTGTACAACAAGTAAACACACATTCTTTATCTCTTAAATACCTAAGCACACACTTACTTTATGCGTTAAATTAAGGTCTTCGACTATTCCCGTCTCTTCCTCCCTCTTTTGCAGTGCTGACGGTGACTTTGCCATCAAGCATGAGACTAAAGTCCTGCTGGAGCACACTGGGCTGATAACGTGGAACCCACCGGCCATCTTTAAGAGCTACTGTGAGATCATTGTCCTCCATTTCCCATTTGACCTGCAGAACTGTAGCATGAAACTGGGAACCTGGACATATGATGGACTGCTGGTTGTCATCAACCCAGTGAGTGTAAAAATTTTAAAGGATGATCAGGGATTAGTTATTTCTTTTATCTTCCTTTTTGCTCTGTTGCCATGCATTTTTCTCTGTTTCCTGTCTGTAGGACAGTGACCGGCCTGACCTCAGTAACTTCATGGAGTCGGGTGAATGGGTGTTGAAGGACTACAGGAGCTGGAAGCACTGGGTTTACTACACCTGCTGCCCTGACACACCATACCTTGACATCACCTACCATTTCCTGATGCTGCGACTGCCTCTCTATTTCATCGTAAACGTCATCATTCCCTGCATGCTGTTCTCTTTTCTCACAGGATTGGTCTTTTACCTGCCTACTGACTCTGGTATGTAGATCCTGCTGCAGCTATAGAGTGCATAGGTACATTTGCAGAACCTTAAGAAAATGAAGTATGAAAATACAAAAGTGTGTTCATTTCTTTGTCTGCAGGTGAAAAGATGACTCTGTCCATCTCTGTCCTGCTGTCTCTTACTGTCTTCCTGCTGGTTATTGTGGAGCTGATCCCCTCAACCTCCAGTGCTGTCCCTCTCATTGGGAAATACATGCTCTTCACTATGGTCTTTGTTATTGCCTCCATTATCATCACCGTCATCGTCATCAACACACATCACCGCTCACCCAGCACACACACCATGCCTCCCTGGATCCGCAAGGTGTCATTTTAATCTTCCTATAATGAATATAAGAAATGTTGATATTACTATTAAAGTTTGGGGGGGAAAAGTGTAAAATGTGATTAATATCCGTATTTGTCTGTGCCCCAGGTCTTCATTGAAACCATTCCCAACATGATGTTCTTCTCCACAATGAAGCGTCCCGGTCAGGAGATCAGACAGAAGAGACTGTTCCCTACTGATATGGACATCTCGGACATCTCAGGCAGGTTACAAACAAATCACAGCAAACATTCTCCCACAAGATGCGTTGTCTTTTGGTTTAAAATGAGGGTATTACTACCGGTAGGAAACTGTCCCTAAATGTGAAGCAAAATAGGAAGAAAAACTCATTTTAACTGCAGTTTTCAAGTGTCTGTAGTCTCTCCTTGTGTTCCCAAAATCACAACGTCTTTCTGCTCTCTACCCTGCAGGTAACCCTACTCCCACTAGTGTCACCTATCAGTCCCCCATTGCTAAAAACCCTGATGTGCGCAGTGCCATAGAGGGGGTGAAGTACATCGCTGAGACCATGAAGTCAGATGAGGAATCAAACAACGTAAGACAACAGCTTCAAATGCTTATTTTTACCTTGGCAATTCAATCATTTGATAAATAAGGCTGTTGTGTCAGTAAACTGTCAAACATAGAGGAGCAACAAAGTTTAATCAAATGTTAACTACACTGCTTCAATCTACATCCTAAATCAGACCCCTCAGACATGTCTGTCCTTGTATTCTCATTCCAGGCAGCAGAGGAGTGGAAGTTTGTTGCCATGGTTTTGGACCACATCTTGCTCTGTGTGTTCATGGCTGTTTGCATCATCGGGACACTTGCTGTGTTTGCTGGGAGACTCATTGAGCTCAACATGCTGTAAAGGCCTGATCCAAAAGGGATTGCATGTGTTTTTATCAGCATGGATGGAGTTGTGTAATTCAGTCGTTCATCAAGGACTGATTTCAGTGGGATTGATTGCTAAATGCTGGATTGTAAAGTGCTCTCACTGACTGAAACTGCAGTTAAAGCGAAATTCAGGCAGATTTAAGGCATAAGTCATTATGATGATCTGGATGGGCTGTACTTGAAAATATTTTTGTCACTAACATTTTTCCAATGTTGTAGTTGTTTTTCTACCATATTTATGTTGCTGAAACCTTTGTTGAAGGGCTCCTTGGATGGATGAGTTTTTAAACTGCTCTAATGTTAAGGTCACAACAGTTTTGATGACTTGTTTTTTTTTCTGGCAGCTTGATTTTGAGTCTGGGTGAGGTGGATGTAATTCAGTATAATGAGAAAGGAGAACAGATACTATTGCTATGACCTTCACATGTAATTTTTAACATTTTAAATGGAAATTTTTCCATAAGTAAGAGTGAGTGTTAATGTATAAACCCAGAGTTAGAGAAGGGAGGATGTTTTCATGTAAGACAGAGTTAACTGTTGCTTTTTAACCCAGTTCTTTTTAACCATAGACTGTATTTACTATGGACAACTTGGCTCTGCCTTCCATCATTATACGAATTTGAAGCCGAATTGCTCTTGGTACTTCGGGTATTGTCTCCACTTCCTGGAACCACCACTTGCGCCAAAGCATTGCACACATTTGGCGGGAGAGTCGCAGAGAGTCGCTGTGATGACACACGGCTCAAACTGCTTATCCCTTGCAATCTTAGTATGCCCATAGGCTGTATCAAGTGTCAATCATAGAAAACATAACCCCCCTATTAACTTTTAAAAATGGAGCTGTACAGAAAAAAGAGGACTTGAGCACAAACCAGCCTTACAGTAACTACATGTCAACATCACAACCAGTGGGGAGAGAAACTTATATTTGTGTAATTAATTTTTTAAGTTTGTCCACAGCTCCATGACGGTTGCTGGAGGAGGCAGGATTTATGACCTATACTGCAGCCCGTCACCAGAGGGTGCTGTTCTCACGGTGGCTTTACTCAATGAGGAGGCAGACAGCATCCATTCTATATACAATCTATGGCTGTAACTCTGTCTGGTTGCAGGCAAGATATGTTCCTCTCTGGAAGTTTTTTTTCTTTTTGCCTGACAGTAAAATAACTGCTTAACTTGATATTCAAAATGTAGGTATTGTGCAATTTTTAATGGGCAAGTAGGAAGGTTTTCCTTTTCACGTGTTCAGGTACTTTCCTCTGATGCTGTACATTTTTTAGGGAGAGTCCTACTTTTGAATATTGATTTGAATTAACTGTTTACTAACTTTAATGAGAAACTGTGGTTGAAAACTGACTTTGATTGTTGTGGGATGTTACCAGAGAAATTTTCTCAGGTAGCCAACCGGCCTCATCAAACTGGCTTGTCACTCCTCTGGAACATACCTGACATCAACATGATGGGATACAATCTGATGATTTTTGACAGCTTGAATAGCAAACACAAGAAAGAAAGTAGCATAGCTGAAGAGGAATGGATTTAAGTAATTCCTAATTTTCTGAAGTTGAAACATCACAGCTGCAGTGTTGCTGCCTGTGTTTACGGTAACCAGATGATGGCGACTTGATTTATTTTGCAGCTGTGATTCTTTATGGCAAGGACTGGAATGTCGTTTTGTTACTGATACTTTAAAATTTAGCTCAGATTTTTTTTATATCTGCAGTTATGTATCTGTTCGATAGAGTGGAAATAAATGTTCATTGTTTAATTAGAGTGGTACTGTCACATAAAGCTGGAACGTATAATCCAGTTGCACTTGTGCAATTTGTAGGTTTCTTTATTTAAATGATGTGAAGGTTGAACACTAAAGGTTCACACTGAGGGCTAAAACACACAGAATCCGTATTGAGTGCGTACCGTCAGCGTCTCGTATTGCCATTCTATGCAGCATCACGTACAAGACGCGTATCAGCTCCGTCGCGGCTCCGTATCAGAAGCGTGTCGAGCGCGGCTCTGCTAAAGATACGCGCCGAGTCTATTTTCTCTGCTCTACGCTTTCAACACGCGTCAATCCACACAGGGAAGATTGTTCTAGACAGGATATCAATACAAAAACTGCGCATGTCCTTTGCTAAATTTCAAAATAAAACACCATATGCAGACTCCCAACTGTGCATCAGTATGTGTAAATGAGAAATACTTCCTATTTACGGATTTCTCAGTAACACAAAACAACCCGATGGTCAATCCCTGATCCATGTGGACCCCAACAGGACTTTTAACTGCTAACTCTGTCTGAAGGTAACATCACAGCGTAGAGGAACATAGTTTATGATGCTAAACACAAGTAAACCTGCAAAAACCGAAACTTTAAAATCACTGAATTATATCCAAATTAGCAGAAAATAGACCACAGAAAGGCAAATCAGCCTGTTGTGAGCATGTTGTTTCCTCTATTATGAGCCCAGCTGACCGGGGCTGCACCACGCTGCTGCTACGCTCCAAATACGCATCCTGGGTGCGATAGACAGCGCTGCTCTGCGGAGCAGATACGCGACACTGACGGAACGTGCTCATTACGATCCTGTATGTTTTCGGCTTAAGAGAACATTTTTCATTTGCACACTGACCTATATGGTAGTGGTTTAAATGAGAATTTAAAGAAGTGGACGGAACGCAAGAACCACAACAGAAAAAATACTGCCCACTTGTTGCTTTTAAAAAACTTTATTAGGCGTGCCATGCACACATGTAATGTCAGCCAGCACTGACAAAAGTAGGTGATATATCAAGCAAAGAAAAACCAAACAAAAGACCAAAAGTAAACACACAAAACATGTATCCACATTTTCAGACAGCTAGAAGAGTATCTTAAGTCTTTATAAATGTTGAAAGTTTCCACAATTCCATCACCAGCAGATTGTAATATAAAGAAATAACAGAAACTTGTTAGCACAAACCAGTAAAAAAGCACAGGTGTCACGATGCATTATTTTGTGACTTCTGTAAACACTGCTGCCTGGTGGAGGGATATAACTGGGAAAAAAATCTAAATGTCACACTGTGGAGACAGGCTACTTTAAATTCCTCACAAGGTCTGTCCTTAACATTCAGCAGAGGTTTGTCAGACTAAAAGCACTTTGGCTGCCACATACAAGGAGAGGACTACCATAAAACCTGTACGGACAACATTTGCCAGATGATTGTGTTAGTCAGGAGGTTTCAATGTGGTCAAATACAAATAACAAACACACATAGTATTACAGAGAAAATCACTGACTGAAAATATTTAAATATGGATATTAAATATTACTTCATGTTGAATTTTTCTTGTACCCCTGAAGAGTTATTTCCCACTTAATCTAGCTGGGTTTCTGTGCACATTACAAGTTTCAACGACAGAGACGTTTTTGCTTAAGGCCTCATTATATCTTCTAGTCCATTCAATAGCAGAATGAAGAATTGTCAAAAATAAAAAATTTTTAAAAAAAAGGTGTTAGTGCTCACTAAGTGGGAACCTTCTCAATCTTTACATTGCAGCAGCAGCTTGACAAAGGGAAGACCACGAGAAAAACAATAGTGAACACACTTCAAATGAACAACAGCGGGAAAAAAAAGAAAAAGAAAATACTTCTTTCAGAATACTAATCTGATAAAACCCTGAATGCTACACAACCAAAACCAGGCCTCAAGCTTCAAATTCATTATAACAGTAACATAGGTTTCAGACATTTGGCCTCTAAGACCAAAGAGTGCAGCAATACCTGAAACAGATAAAACACAATATGGCCAAATAAATACAAAGAGAAACTCAGTGCAAATGGAGTCAGGTTTGACATTAAAGACAGTGCATTTGGCAAATGATAAACCTATGAGGGGCTGTGATTGGCAATGAGCAGGTAGGAGATAAAATTGGCAATTCTTGCTTAAGTCTGCTCTTTTCTACCATTTGTAAAATGTTCAGTGGTTTTTCACGGACTTTTTGATTGATAGCATAACTCTGATAAGTAAGCTTAAGTTGACATCACAAGATGATATCCTTAAAAGCAACCACAGATTTCATTTCAGTGGAGAAATTTAGAGTAAAAAAAACCAGAAATGCTGCTTTTAAAGAAACTTGAAACTTGAAACTTTTGGTAAAGCCTTTCATGTTTGTGGCCACTTGTTAATCAAAGGAAAGGCACAGACAGCGCAGGAGGGTTACACTGGGTCAGTTTGTTCTACACATTTAAAATAGCTAACTTAAAACACAAGGAAAGACTTGTACAGACAGCCAATCTACAGTTCATATTTAGAAGCTGCCCACAGTTCTGGGTAACTGCAGTGATAAGCAGTGACAATGTTTTAGTGCCACCAAGTGGAGAGGTTGTAGAGTGCAGCCAACAAATCACAGTCCCCCCCTTTCAGTTTAGCTCACATATCATCCCACAGTCTCCTTGTTTTTACTCACTCAGACATGGATGACTGTTTCTAACTTTCTCACCAGTAAACAGGAGACAAAGGCAGCAAAAATGGCAAGAACCATAAGTTGTTATGGTTGCTTTCTATGGTTGTCCTATCCTATAGCTGCTTTTTTTTTTTTAGTGATGGGGTTGTATCTAAAATCCTGGTCGATTCTCTGTTTTATTAGCCTATATTTTAAGAACAGGTGCGCTCAGCAGACAAGCACAGCTGATGGAAGAGTGTAGTTACACAAACTGTGATTTTTAGGTAAGAAAAGTTACAAATTTTAGCAGGATAACTTGTCTACAGGGGCTGCTTGTTAAAATATAAATATCACTAATAAATCTAAGGTTTAAGTTAAAATATAGGGGATTAAAAACTGGCAATGGAAAAAGCTCTACCAGCACCTTTAACCTTGAGTGGCATACTTATAAGAATAAAGTGTAAACACATTAAATGGCGTCAGGTGCTGTGCTGGATTTCAAAATATTTTTGAAAACCTTGACAGAAAATTTCCACCTAACTGAACAATAAACATCATGTACATCCTATGTACTTAACAATTTGCATTAAATTAAAAAGTTAAATAGGCAGACATCGAGGAGCCATGTCAGGGTCAGTGAGGAAGTGAAGATTCTAGTATGTTTTTGCTAATTATAGTCTATGAACCTGTAGTGCTCTCCAAACCACAACTCTTTTAAGAACAAAACATAGAGCAGCCAGATTCTCCAAATCTAAAAGAACCTCAAAGCCAAAAATAAACCATAAAATACTGATAAATTAACTGTCAGTTATCAATAAGGGGAACCTAATCAGTGGCTAACTTCTCTGTGCTAAAACAGCCTTAGGATTTTTACTACAATCATTAATCAGACACTTTCTAATTCAACCAATCCAACTTTTAAGGACCATGAAATGTTGGTGTCATTTTAGGCAATATGGTTAGTGATTTTACTGTTGATTAGGATGAATGTTGTCATCTTGATTCATATGCTGCTTTATGTTTCGTATGTATATAGACAAAAAAGAAGTAAGACTTTGGTTACAAGGATGAAAGACATCTTGAGATCACATTGCTTTAAAATGACACCGCTCTATCATGGCCAATCACAACACTGTGTTCAGACAGAGCAATCAGATGTCTCTGATCCTCTTCTGGACTCTCTGCTACTATGAGGACTGGGGTTCTGTCTCACAGGGGGCACTGTGACTCTGCTCCGTCGCCATCACTTGGTCCTCCTCCTTCTCCTCCTCCTGAACCAGCTCTTCTTCTTCCTCCTCTTCCTCCGCTCGCTGTTGCGTTTGCAGCTGCTCCTTCGATTGGTTCTCACTCTCTGTTTCTGCGCCACGTCCTTCATCCTCCCCCAGCTCTTTCTCATCTGACAGGGAGACACGTAAGTCAGATGTGTTTACTAGGATTGAGGAGAGGAACTAAAAACTCAGAAAGAGTGAGAAAAGAGGGAGCAGCTGAGATAATGTGAACGGTTTGAAGTTCAATAAATGATTTGTTTGTTGAGGGTTAAAATCAGGGTTGAATTAAGGTCATTTACAGTTAATTCTTTGTTAGGGTTAACATTGATTTGAAAGTTTATAAAAGCCAGTGATCAAAATTAGAAAATGTTTCGGATTAAAACAAACAACAAAGATCCTGTCAAGCAGAAAACCTGGAGCCTTTTTCAGGCCATAGCGGAATTTATACGCCACTCGATGATGGCTGTTTAACAGATGCCCTCTCTCATAAAATCACTACAGCTGACTCAAAGCTCCTGTGCCGAATTTTTCACTGGTTATAAAACAGACGACTGATACCTCTATGTGAGCTGCAAAAGCAGACAAGGTCATCCGTAAGACAGTGAAGTTAGTTTTGTTTACTCTGCCATGTTTCACAGAGTGATACTTGCCACACTAACAGAGAGCAGGATGAGTTTTTTCCTTATTTACAGGACAAGATTAGCAGAGAAGAGGTACTGCTTTGTCCACAGAGGGCACCAAAGTCAACACAAAGGGAGCTTCAACACAGGAGCTTCAAAGAATGACAAATAAGAGCAGATAGCAGCTAGATCATTGGATGCAGAATAAAGATATATGCACAAAAACCTTTCAGATTTCTTTTCAATCCAACAAAGCACAAACTGATCTCTTCTGTATTTTTTTGTATCAAACACGTGTACTAGAGAGCACATCGAGCTTTTAGAGACATGAGACATTGAACATGGAGATTGAGGGGGAAATCAATCAGCAAGGACACTTATCCAAACATTTTGATCACTCAGTGAAGACCAGATCTGAGTCAGATGAAGTGACTTTCTTTATTTATTTTTTTAACATTAATATTCTAACGATATTTCTCTTCTATCAAGACTAATTAGATAATTCTGCATCAGTTATCAAACAAAGCCTCGACTTTGACAAGAGTTCACATGAATTCCTAAACTTTCAAAAGGTGGATTTTTGATTTCTAAATTGGATCAACTGTGTTTTTACTGAACCCAGATCTGGCACAGACATTCAGTGACTGGAAATCCAATTTTTTCAGTTTTATAAGGAGTTACGGTGATTAGAGATCAAAAACTTGGTGTTAAGCTGAGCTCTACAATGTTATGGATTCTACTGCCAAGAAAATAGGCCCATTCGGAGATAACCCAATCAATCAAATCAGGTCAAATTAAGTCAGATCAGACAGTGCAGGAAGGGAAAGGGGAACCTGGACTCTGTAGAGGTTGGTTCTGAGGTTTCTTTGGACTCTGCTGGATCCGAAAACTGTGGACCATATTCCACGAGGCTGGAGCCTTGGCTAGAGGCAAGATCACACCATTATCCACTGATCACTACACGCAAAACCTATAGGTCTGACCAAGGACAAGAGCTAAGGAACCTTTACGAGCACAGAACAGGATGAATCAAGGCTTTGGATACAATCTTACTTTTGGCTTCTTTCACGGACTTTATTCCACCTCCTGTATGTGTAACTTTAGAGAGATTTTTTCATAGTCTTAATAGTTTCTGTGCTGCAAACAAGAATAAAATCCCTGTAAAGACATCGTATAGTATCTTGTACACTCACTGTTGCTTTGTTAAACCACTGTGCAAGCAAAAAAATGTCATCTTTCTTTCTTTTTAACCGTAACTGTGGACCATGTGGTGACATCATAACAAAAAAGGATTGAGGTGTCTAAATACAACAGAGCCCATGTTTTTTTAATTCGCACATTTGATTTAGTATCTTGTACATTTGATTTAGTATCTTGTACATGTGATTTAGTATCTTGTACATGTGATTTAGTATCTTGCGGGTGCGCTTTAACTGTTCATTAATTTAAAAAAAAAAAATTTCCTGCAAGTCTGAATATCGCTGACAGCAAAGTCGCTGTGCTTCAGGGTTTCTGATGAGGTGTCTACTACTCAAAACAATACCAAATGGGGCTCAGATATAAAGTATCTTTGTGAGTCAAACCTAAATGAAAGAAAACGTTGATCATATGCTCTCTGTCCATGACACTGTCCTTCTTCTCTCACAAAAAAGGGGGGAGGATTATTTACAAAAATGCATGCACAAGATACAAATAAAACACACGTACGAGATACTAAATCGTACATGTGAATTTAAAAAAACAAAGTTCATGTCACCTCCCGGGCTCCGAAGAATACAAATAACTCTAAGGATTAACTTTTTCTAACTGATTTCATCAGGTTAAAATGGTGGTATTGTGTTTTGGCTGATTGTATTCTAACAGCTATAAAAACCACAAATATTAACATTGAAGTTAAGAACAGAATCAAACACAAACAAATGATGGAGGTCAGCTGGGACACTAAACAAAGAAGCATCTAAAACAGGAAGTTAGGACATGGAGTAAGTAATACAGGAGCACAGAGTATTGTGAGTATGGCAGTGTGTTTGTGTGAGTGAGTGTATGTGCATGTGTCTCTCACATGTCTGTTGGGTCTATGCTGTGGAATTCAAACCTTGTTTAAAATCAAACTGACTGATCAGTAAAAACCTCACTGTTACAGGATAAATCATGTTTTCCTCTTAAGTTTCAACATCTCATCCTCCAGCATTGCTCTAGGCTTGAACACATTTTACTTCTGACTCAGACCTAAGGAGACCTGGTTGTTGTTGCTCTTCCCGGCCTCTTGTCTGTGTAACTGTGTGTCTCAGTACCTCCAGAAGGGGGCGGACTCTCCTCTGTATCTGCTCCAGAGCGCCGTGCTGGTCCGGGTGAACGTGACTCTGCTCGCAGCCTTCTCTCATAGCTGAACTCTGGAAGCCTGGGAGCCTGGGGGCGGGTCTTCCTCGCTGGATTCAGGAAGTAGCAGTATGCGCAACGAAATGCTGGAGGATTGGAAATAGGAAAACAGAGAATGAATGAGGAACAGACTAACAGCCCAACAGCCCCCAAAAAAACTTGACATACATCATGTCCCTTTTGTTCATTTTACTGGGTGTTTTTGTCCTTACCTAGATACTCAAACTCTTCTTTTAAAGCCATGCCATTGTGGGAAAAACACTGTTGGCAAATCAGCGCATATCTATAAGAAGAAAAGAAAAGTGGCGGGAAAGAGAAAGAGACAGTTTTAAATCATGTTTTTTTTAATTTTTGGGGCATTTAAGGTGTTATTTGGCTAAGCTTAATTCCAGTGGTTTTGCTGAGGGATGTCAGGTAGTCAGTTATTAAAGAGAGTACAAACTGTGCTTCATAAACAAAGATAAAGATCAATAAATCAAATCAAAATCAATCAAATTTTATTTATATAGCGTCAAATAACAACAGTCATTATCCCCAAACACTTTTCCAAAAAAAGAGCGAGTCTAGACCACACTCATTGTTTGATGAACTGCCAAGACCCAACCTTCAGATGGGACAGGTTTAACCCCTCTCATCTAACATGAGTGACAGTGGAAAGGAAAAACTTCCTTTTAACAGGCAGAAACCTTGGGAAGGACCTGCTGGGTTGGGGAGAAATACAGAGAAGGAGAGAGAGAGAGAGGGTAGAGCAGCAAGATGCAAAGGGGCGTATATCTAACCCCAAAGTCTTAGGGTTTCTAAAGTTTCTAAATTCTTGGAAATTCTTCATGGGGTTTCAAATCGAAATATGAGATCCTCACCTGTTCTGTGGTCCATCTCCAACTAGATACTCAATTACTCTGTCCATGGCTCCTCTGTCTTTTGGCAGAATGGGTCTTGCTAATGGAGGACCTGGTGGATGTAAACCTATAAAAAAACAGAACCAAAAACAGAGAAACTAGAACTCTTGTTGGAAACAGAATATATAAAGTGTATATAGAGATACAGAGTTTACCTTTAATTCAGACTTTTGCAGTATTCAACCTTGATGTAAAGAGACATATTTCTGGGCTTATAACCTACCTACACCTGGTACAGGGGAGCAGACGGTCCTGGGTACGGCCCCCTGGAGAACAGAGGCAGAAAGAGCAGATCTCTCTGGAGGTCCTCCTGGAGCTGAGAGAGGAACAGGTTCTGTCGGGAGAGCAACATGGAACAACACCACTCACTCACACACACATTCGTCTGAAAGAACAAAGTCAGAGGCAGCTGGACTCTCTGTTCGTTCCAGCTGACTTCCGCTTTGTCCATGAGCCGGATGCTTCAGGATCTTCTTAGACAGACTGAAACTTGTAGTAGTCTTTGGTGAAAGAACTCAACAGTCGAGCTCTGACTCTCTAGTCAAAGTGCAGAGTAGATCCAGCATCAAAGTCACAAACTGCTATTTCTAAATACTGAACATAGAGGATCTCTGTCAGCCCCTTACCCACAGGTGTAGCTCCTGGTGCCAATGTGGGCCGTGCTCCCTGGGGAGTCATTGCCATTGCACCTGGGGTGCCCATCGGCATTGGTCTCATTTGCACTCCTCTTTGTCGAATCTCTACACAAAGAAAAGGGTTTTATTCTGCAGTTCTTTCTTAAGCAAGGACAAGACTCTGTCTCTGTGCAGGTGGCAGTGAATCCCAATTTGTTATCTGCCTGCTCTGCATTGACGTGTTGTACCTTGTCCTGGCCTGGGAGTCATCTGAGGACGCACTGGAGTCGACTCAAGCTCCTACAACATGACAGAAAACAAAACATGGAGAAGTCAAAAAGTGACAAATCAGGATTCAATACGAGAAGTTAAATCAAAAGAAACTGCACTCACAGTTTTCCTCTTGGCCTCAGGATCAAAACGTTCCAGAATGATTTTGGCATTTTTGTACGTCTCTGTTTCCATCACCTCCTCCAGCTGTAAACACAGAAATGGGGAAACTTTCAGTCAAAACAAGCAGACTGATTTGGAATCCCCTGGTTTCAACACTTACAAGCAATAAGGATCAAAATGTTGCTGCTTTTTAAGCTAGTCTAAATTGGGCACCAGCCATAGAGACAATGCAGCTGAGCTGTCGTTCTTGTTTGACAAGCTGTGCGTAACATTGCATTTTGACTTCGGGGTTGAAAAAGAGAAGCCACAAAAAACACCCAGTCTCTCTCTGGATCAGTCAGTAACAGATGTGTATGATAGAGAATGGTGGAGATTATCTCATCACTTACAATCTTTTTCTTGGTGGCCTTTAAATCTTCAAGTTTATCATCTAAAAAAAGAGTTGGAAAAACATTGATCAGTTGTGTCTTAGAGAATAACAGTGTACTATCACAAAACAGCTTGAGTAAATGTGACAATAAAGATAGATTTTTTTTGCTGTGTCAGTCTGCAACAGGAAGGCAAAGGTAATAGTCATTCTTAAAGCATTCACAGTCAAAGCGTCATTTAAAGGGATATTCCGGTGTAAATTTAAGTTAGGGTCAAACACACTGTAACACCAAGTTAGACACCCCTTCAAGAGATGAATGTTGCCGACTGCTTGCTTCTCTAAGTATACCAACTTAAGTAAGAACTGCACAATAGCAACACATAGCGGTCTACATCTCCACCCACAAACCTCAGCCAAAAAGCCACTCTATAGCCACAAATCAGCAGATCAGAACAGCACCTAACTTCATCAACAGTACATATAGGGTCCCAGTCATAGTACTTGTCACCAAACATCTTTTTAGCTTTTCCTGGTTTCTTTAGCAAAGAGACCAAACACAACTCACCCACTCTCCTCCAGCAGCCACTTGTTTGTGGGGGAGCCCTAATGAGTTGATCACCAAGTGCAGTGGAACATTTCCATAAAGTAATAATCATCATAATTATTTTGCACTCAGACGCGGTAGTTCTCCTGCTTTAGCGTCTCAATCTGATTACATTTCCACCAAGTAATAATCATAAATTTTCTTCCTTGAGCTGTGAAACTCCACTGCACTCGGTGATCGACTCGTCAGGGCTCCCCCACAAACAAGTGGCTGCTGGAAAATTTAAACCGGAACATCCCTTTAGGTTTCAAAAGTTAAATATTTGTCAGCTTTATGGACAGGTGGACAGAAAGGGACTACAGACAACTTACTATTTCTCTCAGTGCGTTTAGAAAAGAGGAAGACCAACAGTTTCCTGATGAACCAAACCCTGAGAGCAACAGAAAAAGGCAACAGATGAAAATAATAATACAACATACAGTGCACACCGTGAGACTGCCAATTAAAAACATAACATGGCACATCTAAAGTGATCTTTGCAAGACAAAACTGACAGATTGATAAATATAGTCAAAAAATGTGAGCACTTACAGCACTGGGTAAATGAAGAAGGGCAGGGCCATGGACAGTCTCTGCAGCCATTGTTCAGGCAGGTAGAGATAGTATACGATCAGAGAGGTCAGCAGGTAGAGGACTGATGAGTAGAGAATCAACCGGCCCACCCACAGCTGCAGACAGATAAACACAAAAACAGATTAAAAAACAATAAATCAAACAATAAAACAACTCATTTGGGATTTTTTTCTATTTTCTTTTACTTTACCTTTTGTAGACGCTGGTTTTTGGCTCGAAACTCCTCAAGATCTTTAATCTCCTGAAAGAGAAAGGAGGAGGTCAAAGGTTATTTAAACACAACCATTTTCATCAAGTGCAAAGATTATAGTTCACTTATTATTGCTACACTAACAAAATAGTGTCCCCTCTAAAGGAGTGGAATTAATAATACCAGGTAGATAGCAGTATTGAGTTAATGTGATTAATGTGATCATTCAGAGTTCAAACATCTTGCTTTGAGACAGGCACAAGTACATTGAGAGTATATCTCCATCATAAAACTAGAATCTAAATGAAACTGGGTCAAACATTTTGAGTAAATGACACTTGATCTGAGACTGTACCTTGTCAATGTTCTCCAGCTGCTCAACTGTGGTTGGCTTTGTCTAGATTTGGCAAACACATGTAAAAAAAATCATCATCAGTTTCACTCCAACTACTGACACAATACTTTGTATAACCAACAGCCAATAACAGAATTGCCAACCCTATTTCACCTTCAAATTTCAAAGACATACATCTCATTTTGCATCCTATTTTTTTTTATTTAATTTATTTACGTATCAACCTTCTTTTTCCTCTTCTCTTTAAAAGTAATGACTATTAAATCCTCGGTTGCACTTCCTACTACTCACTCTCACTTGCCATCTGCCTTCCCGTCCCTTGACTTTCCTAGAACGTCTAAAAATAGTGTATGAATTTCATTGAGCTCAGGGCACATGGTTCAGTGTGCTGATGGCAAAAGAGACTAGATTGTCTTTAGCATAGTCATCACTCAAGTAGAACAAGAACTGAGTAAATCTGTTCAGAGTGGACTCTGTGGCCCACTGTTAAAGCTTTGAAAAACACTGTTTTACATAACATGCTTAATATCTAAGAATCAGGTACTTGAGAGTTATATAGAGGTTAGAAATTGCCATATATGCCCTTAGGTACTCTGGTACAAACCTATTAGTAGAATTTTGCACTTTTAAATTCAGTTGGACTTATTCATTTCTATCTGTGCTTCTTTCCACCCCAAAATAGCTCAAAAGGCCTGAAAACCTGCTTCACACGCTCAACAATTCCTACACTGTCATTACCTTGAGATTCGATAAAACCTGTTTAACAAATGCACCACAGCTATTAGGTTTTGCTTCATACTGTTTAAATGAGCACTGTTAACCTTGTTCTTTCCTGGAGTGTTTTTGACTTGACTTCTTTATTTTCACTCATCCACTTACCTTCCACCGGGATAACAGGCCTCCCATGTCTGCAGATTATAGTAATCCCCTCTTTCACTCACTATGGAACAAAAAAAGTCTTTGTCAAAAAACATGCTATAGGTCAACCTAACACACAAGTCTTTTTAAGTGCAGTCACAGAATGTTTGCTGCTAAACACTACACGCTAAGTCCTGCTGTAAGATTTATATAACGCTTACATCATCACAAGATTTGGCAAGCTGCCTATAGAATAAGTCCTCACAATGGTTGCTGTTGTTTCAGTGGATTTACGCAGGGAAATCTCAACTTGTCATGCCTTGTTTACTTGCTCAAATAATGTTTAATCCTCGGACTTCACAGTACTGACAAGAAACACAATTTAAGAGGGTCATTTTCTAGAAATTGTCTGTGGCAAAGCTCAGATCAAATAACATATCTTGTCATATTCTTAGAACTGGAGCTGTTCCTTTCGCATGGATTGTGCACTATCATGATCAACACCTGTTGTTTTTGCTCTCTGCATAAAGGGCTGCATGCACTCAAAGGTCAGAGTGACATCAGAGACTAGTTTACCTTTTGAACAGATATGACCACCCAAAGCATGACTCAGCAATAATCATATGAGATACAAAGTACTATGTGTTAGTAAAAGTGATGTCATATCTGTGAACTTTTGGACAGTGGGAACCAGAAAATTAATGCACAAAGGCTTTTTTATCAGTATGTCAATACTAAGAAAGAGAAACTGACAACAGCATTCATCCTGGAAAGCATATACTTGACAAAAAATGGTTGGCTATCAAAGCTAAGTAGCCAAACATTAACTGATATAACTAGTATTTCATAATTGCGTTTATGTTACACAACTGTGAACTAGAGCTGGGCGATAAATTATAACAATATATCTCAAAAATTAATTTCCCTCGATTCCAATATAAAACGCGGTCAATATCCTTTTCGATTGTCGGCATTCTGCCATGTTTTGGTAGACTATATGAATAGCCAGTGAAAAGAGGAGTTACTCCAGGTCTGCTTCGCGCTGAACCAATCATATGCTGAATTAGAACCAAGTAGCAAACAACAGTGTAGTAGCAGGCTGCAGCAACACGCAACCATAGCACTTTAACACGTGAAGTCAACAGCACTGGCTCTGAGAAAAAAAGAAAATGAGTGCTACCCCCAGAAAAATGCAGATGAAGGCTCAACAGATGATGATATCGTCGACAACACTGGCACGAAACCGTCGGTGGTGTGGAGGTATTTTGGTTTTTTGAGGTCGGACACTAAGCAGAGTAAGTGCACTGCAAATTATGTTGGGTACATGTTCTCGCAAAGTTGGGGAATACCTCAAATCTTTATCACCACCTGAAGCAGTGCCATGCGATGCAGTAGGTTACAAACACTGAGCGGAGCAAGGAGCTCATGGCTCATTCAGTCCGCTTTCTCTAGCTCAGTGGTTCTCAAGTCCAGTCCTCGAGGCCCACTGTCCTGCATGTTTTGAATTTTCCCCTGCTCCAACACACCTGATTCAAATGATCAGCTCGTTATCAAACTCTGTAATGGCTTAATAACAAGCAGATCATTTAAATCAGGTGTGTTGGAGCAGGGGAATATCCAAAACATGCAGGACAGTGGTCCTCAAGGACTGGACTTGAGAAACACTGCATTAGCGCAAGCGTTGAAGAGATGCAAGGACCTCACTGATGCATTAGTTTATTGTATTGCAAAGGACATGCTACCATTAAGCACTGTTAAATCTTATTTTTTCTTACATTGTAATATATATCGATATTGACTGATATGAGAAAAATATATCAAGATAAACTTTTTCCCATATCGTCCAGCCCTAGCTGGAAGTATTCAAAGGTCAGAGTGACATCAGAGACTTGTCTATCTTTTGAACAGATATAACATATCAAAATATGACTCAGCATTAATCAAATGAGACACTAAGTCTATTTGTGTTAGTAAAAGTGGTGTCATATCTGTGCAGTTTTGGACAGCAGAAACCAGAAAATTAATGCACTAAGGTTTTTTTTACTATCAGTATGTAAATACTAAGAAAGAGAAACTGACAACAGTATTAATCCTGGAAAGCATATACTTGACAAAAAATGGTTGGTTATCAAAGCTAACTAGCCAAATATTCACTCATTTTTCATAATTTGCGCTTATGTTACATACTGTGAACTCAAGGTACCAAAAGTCCCAGCACAGAGAGGTGCTTCATAGTTTTAACCTTCACAATCTTAAGCAGTAGAACAGGTTCGAGTCTCAGGGAAGCAAACAGACAAATGCTACCTACCTTTCATCAGACTGTCCTCTTACAGCTTTTTATTGCTATTTTAGATTAAAGCGGTGCATTTCCTATTAAGCACTGTCCTCTGGCACAACACGCATAATAAACAACATTGTTTTAAGTCTTCAGCAAAACAATGAATGGGCTTGTTATGTTTGCTAAGTAGCTGTAGCTCGGCCAAAACAACACTGTACACACACGCTCAGCTGCTAGCAGCCAACCATGACGCTGAAAAAACACCCAGAAGGTCCATTGTCCGTCTCATCTGCACCTCAATGCTCATGTTTGGAGAAAATCAAACTCAGTCATACATGTGATTGAATTAAGCTTGAATGCTCCTCCTAGCTAGCTTCTGCACCATCAACAATAGGCTTGAACCGAGGTATCCCAAATAAACACAAGATTTTACGCTTTTTACCTTAAAAGAAAACCTTTCAATTAAACTAGTACTTACATTTGTTGGTGTTCAGCGTGTCTGTTAATCACTCATGAGGTTAATTTCACGAAAGCACAAGAAGTGGCTGCTACCACCTCAACTGACATTTCAACTGCCAGACGAGAGTTGGCGCGGCGTGGAGACGTGATTAACGTTTTGTGATGACGTAATCCGGAAGGGAGGCAGACATTGATTATTTCCCGTCGAACCTTGCGTTGTAGTCTTTTTTAGCAATTCGGGATTCAGTGCTTTCTCGAGTGAAGTTTTCATAGGCCGAGCAGAACGAGTTGATATATTTGACAGTGTAACCAAGTTTCTGTTCGTTAGTTTATCGGAATTGCAATATTCTTTCCTCTGTAGCTTTTAGAGCTAACTGTACACAGAAACAGTGGGACTAAGTATGTCTGGACATCAAAATGGTGATCTCTCAGGCTGTTTTGAAAAGCACAGCAAAGACCCTGGTTATCTAGCTTTTACTGTGGGTGAATTCGACTTCAGCCTCAAACTGCATGTTATTATCGTTTCTACAGGCTATTGTCTTTTATTTTCATGTTAATTTTTTGACGTTCATCGAAGTTGTATGATTTTATCATATCATTTTAAACATAAATTAATTTTAATTTAGTTTGTTATACTTAGCCTTCATATTTTATTGATAACAATGTTTATGTTTCGTTTTATTTTAAAATGTTGCTGTTTTACCATTTTCTTCTTAATGTTCTCTTTTACTGTTATTATTTTTATTTTATAGTTTTATTTCTTGTTGTAGTGGAGCTGTATTCTTGTATGAAAGGTCCTGAGGAAGTTGGTTGAGTTGAACTGAATTAAAGCAGTAAAGAAGCCACAAGAAAGTAAATCCTCACACCTTTTATTAAAGAGATTTGAATGAGACGTGGTTTAAACATGGTATCTACACTTAAACACCACATCTGTGGATAAAACTAGAATATTTGAAATTATAGATGACGGCATCAATCACTGACATATAATATTAAGTGGCTATAGCACAGCAGAGTATGAAACACCTGAAGGACAATCAAGGATCTACTGAACTATTGAATTTAAGATGATTTAGGCAACTGAAATAAAAACTGACGAAAGTGTATGTGAAGCATACAAAGGGGAAAACACAGAGCATGATAAAACGATTATCTAGTAAGCATGATAAAATCTAAAGAACTGCACAACATCAGCAATCAGGGTAAGTCATAATATCGACACTAGATGTCGCAATTTTATCATTTTACGTGGACCTTCATGTATCCCTGCTGCCTTTAATATGGGGAACAATATTTTATTAGTTACCAAAATGGGATGACAAGACAGTTTTAATTACAAATTTATTGATAAATTACTCCGCGTGTTGCCCTGTTGTCTTATTTTAACGCACTTACTCTCAAATATAGCCTGGAAAAGTATACTGTTTGCAGCAAGACATCCCTAAGTACAAAGCTAGAGTAGGCTTATTGTTATACTGAATAACACCTTTTATTTCTTCTGTGCAGGTAACAAGAGCTAGTAAGACCATCAGCATATTTTTGATACTTCAGGCACCCTTCATATGTTATGGGCTGCAGCCTTCCACTTTTGCATATTGGTATACCATTAAATGGCTTCTCCAACATTGAATTAGTCCTTAGAGAGAAAGAAAGAAAGAAAGAGTAGTCATGTACCTTGGCGCAGTCTAAATGAGCACCTCAAACTAACCGACTCACACATTTCAGGGTAAAAAACGTCGTGAATTCAAGGAATCTCTCCAGAATTCAGTAGCTTTTTCCCTCAGCTCCCAGCTCCCCTCTGAGCTGCTTGAGACGAGGCTGCAGTGTGCACAGATTTGGCCTTCAGCTTTAATGCTTACAGCTTCCTCTGGAGACTCAAGAGTTATGGGCCTAATAAAACTCTCTCTCTCTCTCTCTCTCTCTCTCTCTCTCTCTCTCTCTCTCTCTCACACACACACACACACACACACACACACACACACACACACACACACACACACACACACACACACACACACACACACACAAAAGCACGAAGATATGCGCGTTGCTGTATATTGTAGCTGATGAGTTATCCTGATGCTGAAGTTATTTCCGTTTCATTAACCTTTAATAAATTAAACACTGAATTAAAATGAACAGCGGGGACTACTCTTTACAATCCTCCAGCACCACACAAATAACACAAAGTACACACCGAGAGGCAAACAGCGCACACTTGTGTTTTTGTGTGTACGAGACAAATGGATAGTGAACAGTCAGAGAACACCAAACCACCACAAATCATCAGAATAAATCTGACCAAATACAATAACGATATAAAAAGAACGTTGTGAAGATTTTTTTATTTATTTAGTTTTGTTGGCGGGAATCCAAAGATTGAGATAGTGTCTTCTTAGTCTTGAAAAGTTTTCTTTTAAAAATCAGCAGCAATACTTTGGAGATTTAATTTAACAAATGTTGCTGTCAACTTTGGACAGACATTTCAAATTTACTTGTGATGTATCTTATCTGCACGAGACTCTGACTTGTTGGAGTGTATTGTTTGTATGTCTTACACGTAGGCTAAAACGTATGCTTTCACTGGGTTTTTGAATGCACTTTGAGAAAGGTAAGGAAAAACATTTAAAAACGACAACAATCTGAAATAAAATTAGAGACAAGCTTCTTTCCAATGGTTTTATCCCCGTCGGTTGGGCTGTTTGAGAGTGTTTCCTTTCCAGCCCTTACTTAGATTTTAAAAAAAAATCTCCCATTTACTATTATTAAAGCTGTAGTATGATTCACCGATACTTCCCCGACTCCTGGCTCAAGTTAAGGATCCTTATTTTGGGACTAAATTGCGCATAACCTTTGCAGTGAGGATGAAAGGCCTCCAGTTCGTCACCATTTGCTACGTCCGCTCTTTTGTTGACTGGACATTTCGAGTAGACAAGCACATGGTTCAAAGACACTTAAGTTTAGGGGGGTTAGACTGTTTATTGGACTTGGCAGTCGGTCTGTCTGTCAGATTTGCTCTGACACCTGCTTTAGGACAGATGTCCGGGTGGACGCGCAGCCCCTGAAGTTTGTCTGGATTCTCTGCTGCTTCACGGCCTTTTCACCCACATTACCTGGTAAGCCCGCATTAGGCCTTTACTCTGATTAATGTTCATATTTTAATGTCAAATTATACTTAATAAACGTAGAAAAATTCGGGTTGCTGTATAGTGGTCTGTTTTGTTATGTTTTAACCTTGACCTGCGTGCGTCAAAACGTATAATTGCGCGTCACTGTAGTGTTACAGACTACTTCATTAGGCCTTTAGTTGTGTTTGACACAATAGTGAATATGTATTGAATATTTTTTTTTATCTACTGGTTATTTTTCTCTTAATGCTAAAAGAGAGACTAATACTTAAAAATATTCTGTCGCGCGTCATGGCATGACAAAGACTGACATTAAAAACAAGACTGAAGAAGGACTCAGTCCTAACCCGTTAACGCACAGAATTAGGCCTGTTTTTTCTCCATTTTCATGAATACGAGCAGCCTTTGTGCATATCGACTTCTTTTAATTTGGAGGTGCATTATGGATTTAATGCAGGCTTTTGTCTTAAAATAAACCAGATTTAATTACAGTGTTCCAATCGAAGAATTTTAAAAACCCGTCGAGTAAAGTAAAGTAAAGGTTTAACTTGCTTTCTCCAAACAGCGCCCATGGATTTTTTCATACGACCAGGACTGTTGGGTTCAAAGTTAAACAATTTTGATTTTATCCATCTTTATAGGCCGACTTTTGTTGTTGTTTTTTAGATAAATATATAGTGCGCATCTTTATCATTCTAGTTATACATTTACATTTTGGAACGCTGCATTGAAAACCACTAACATATCACCCTCTTGAGTAAACATCAGTCATCGTAAATATGATATAAAAAACGTGGAAATAACGGTAAGAGCACGTGATTTTACATTATGAAATGACCTTCATCCAGTCCTCGTCTGACGGTCACCGTCACTTTGTGTCGCTGGATACTGAAGCAAAACGCGTGCGTCCAAAATAAAGGCCGGTCTATTTTGGCATATTTTGTGATTAATTCTCTCATTAAAATCCTCTTTTACAACTCCTAATAAACCCAGTGTTTATTTTTCTCATGTGGGTATTGATTTAACTCATAACCTTTTAGCTTTTCAAACGACTTCTAAAAGCCATGGTATGTCGAACATCAGTGCAAAGATGTGCTCAAACATTCACGTGCACACATGAGGAAATGTCAAAAATGTGATTGAAAAAGTGGTTACCTTTGCACAGAGCTAACTCTGAAATGTTTCTTTTTTTGCAATCTTAAAGCCAAGCATTAAATTATCAGAAGTACATATTTATTGTGTAATGAAATGGAATATCCCAACACAGCTCTGCGGTTTATAGATGCTCTGCAGAGTTCCTTTTGTCTATAAAGACTTCCATCTGTCTCTGACATGTGATAAACGTAATAAGGCTGTAATTCACATTCTAGGTCTGCATCTGGTTTGTTTGTTGGCCTAATTTTAGAAATAAATTGCATTCAGAAAAATTCCACAAATCGCCTCCCTTTGAGAAAAACAAAACCACAAAACTACACAACAATGTAGAGTATATCTCTGAGAAACATCTGCAACAACTTCAAGGAAGTGAGCAGATATTAGTGTGGTATAATTGGTAGTATAGTCAAGATATTCAAGGTTAAGCGGTTTACCTGAAACCTGTGGAGACCTCACAAAACAGAGCAGAAATAGAAAACCCTGTGTGCTTCACCACAGTAAAATGACAATAAGAAACAAGCCTGTTAGTATACAGAGATCAAATTCAAGAAATATTCAGTTTCACTGACCAAATCTTACATTCAGACTCTTTTTTTTAAAAAAATACAAGAATTTAGTAACTCATTACTGAAACTTTACTTGTTGCAGCAAAATTAGATACAAGAGCAATTCAAGTTGTGGTTATGCAGTTGATATGACAGTACCAAACATGACTGGAGCTCAAACCAAAAATCAAGGTGTTTCTCATAAATTCAGTCACCAAGTATCAATGCAGCCCAGGTTTGCTCTGTGGGTTCTGTATGTTGAGTATCAGGGAACATTTACAACAAATGCAAACAATTAACACTTTCAAATGCACGGTTTAGCAAACAAGACATACTGCTGTTTCTCAGCACACTTCGTTACAGAGTAAAAAACGTGCCCTAACTATGACTGTGTCAGTGTGAACAAAAGCTCCACTCCAACACTGAAGCAGCTTAATGAAATGCAGCCGCCATTTTATTATCTACACCTGTGCCTGTGCAGAGAGTCAAAATGTCTTCTGCAAAAAAAATGAAGCCTTGTTTGCACTGTGTGACTCAACATACATGCTGGGAATTTCCTTTGATTTGATTTTAAATCTGTGCTACAGTCAAAGAGACACTCCAGGCTAGGAAATTAGACATCTTGCAATCTGTCTGGGGTCTGTTTTCTTTGTTCTCATGTCTCCTTCCTCCTCATCATGAACCTGAGCTGCTTGTGGCTGGAGGCTACAGGGTGGAGAATGTTTCATTGGGATCATGGTTAGTTATCTTTTAACAGGGTAATGTTGAAGGTTTGATGTCAGGTGTTGTGTTGAGCTTCCTGCTGTGCTTGGATAGCAAGTTTAAATCTTTTGTCTTTGAATATTACTCTATAAAATGAGGGTCCCATTTGAGTGTGTGTTTGTGTTTGCATGTGTTAGGAAACCTTAATCTGCCTCTCCAGATGCATTATTTTCTGTGTAACAGTCTGCATCAGGGCTTTACATCAGCAGCGCCCACTGCAAATGCCGATCAAAGGAAAGTGTCAGGATTGAAACATTACACAGTCTCTGTACAATAAGAGCATCAAAAGACGACTTTGAATAACCCCACCATGAGAACAACACACTGAAGTGTTTCAGTGAGACATCCTAATGCTGCATGAATGCATTAATGGGATTTCTTTTGATTAGATCTGTATGTTTACAGCAGGAAAATCCCTTTGCAGCATACAGACTTGACCCGGCTACTGGTATACTGTATCTTATAAAGACATGGCCACATATATTCTGTAGACTTCAACCAAGAGTATTTGTTGTGAATGAATGAGTTGTCAATGAAGAGAGCTGGGCAATCAATGTTCTTATTCGACTTCTGTTAGTGTGTCTGAAATTCAGTTTCAGTGGATATATATTTCCTATCACTATACTAACATTTATCAGAACTAATGAGATCAGCCGTGAAGGAACAATGGATTTCAAGTTTGCATTTGAAACAGTCACCACTTTATTGATTATCAGGGGATTATCAATAGATCATCCATGAATGTGCTATGGATGCCAGACAGTGTTTGATTCAATTAAAAATATTGCACAGACTACATTACTCCAAACAAAGCTGCATAAAATAAAACCTGAAGCCTCGCCTTTGTGTGAGAAATGTGAGTCCATGGAGGCTACCCTTCAAAACTATTGGCATAAAATATTAGATTTTTTTTCATCAGTTTTGAGGATTCAACTAGACCCAGATTTTATTTTAGTAATTTTGGGAACATCTGAGGGGCTATGGAAGCTAAATAGTGCACAACAGCCCCTTCTAAGCATATGGCCTTTTACTGTAACAGCAAAAAACTAATCCTACTTAGGTGGAAGAAAAGAGAGGTCCCCTCATTTAAGCATTGGTTGACAGATTTGACAGACACCTTACATTTGGAGAGAATCAGATTTATTTTAAAAGACAAGTTGAGGGGCTTTGATAAAATCTGTCAACCTTTGGTCTCTCTTCTCAAAAGAGAATCCAATTGAGTCCTCCTGATGCACTCTTAAGGGGGGTTGGGGATGGGGGGGATTGTTGGGAGGATACACACTGTTGGACCCCCCCCCCCCCCCCTTTTTTTGTGTTGTGTGTGTGTTTCATCTGCTTTGTTGATGTAGGGCTCTGCTTGTTTACCTTTTTGTCAATAGTCTTTTTTTGTCAGGGATTACATTCTCTCACCTTTTCTAAAAGACAAAGGAAACAGAATTGTTGACTGCTAAACATATTTGAAATGAGAGATTATCAATGGATGGATGATTTTGTAATGATCAAATGTAAAAGAATCCACTGATATGTTCAGAATAGTCTCTTTAAAAGACATTTACAAATTACTTTTGGATTTAATAGATAAGAAAATTTCAAATATATTGATACAAATTTCTGCATCAAATGCTTATCTAAGCTCACATGACAGCTTACGTTTAAATTAAGTTTTATTTCTTGAACAATAATATATTTCATTTGTTTACTGCAACTTATAATTTTGCAATCCATCGAGATCTCAGAAAGCACTGATGGACAGAATAGAAAGGAACTGTTTTTATAGTGGAAGTCTGCTTGCCTCTTCTTTGCCGATACAATTCCAGGAAAATTTCTTTGAACATCTGTTGTTGCTTTACCAGCGAAAAAAATCTCATGACCTGCAGAAGATTACGCAAACAAAGAGATCTTTTCACATTTCCTTGATTTGATGACAGGCAGAGGACATCAGAGCATGCATGCCTTACATTTCTGCATCACATCCTTGCAATTTATTTACATTTCATACCGAGGCCATAAAGAGATTAATGTAACTGTGTGTGTGTGTGTGTGTGTGTGTGTGTGTGTGTGTGTGTGTGTGTGTGTGTGTGTGTGTGTGTGTGTGTGTGTGTGTGTGTGTGTTTGGGGCTGGTCTGGCTGCAAAAACGTGCAGCCCAGCCTGTACTGTATGACTGTATGTTAGGTTAATTATACTCAGCAGATCCAGTTAAGGCCAAAAATATGTTTCCTCTCTGTCCTGCTTTCATTGTGGTCTTGGGCATGATGAAGATAAATGGAGATGAACGTCTTTTGGCTTCTTAAGGGTTTTTGGTGTCATATTTATGTAATATTTCTGCTTCATGTTTTTAATGGCTTGAAATCGGGATACTAAGCTAGTTTTACGTTAAATTATCTGTGGTTTTTCGCTACTTTAGGGCCGTAAGAGCCCCGCGTGAAAAAAAAGAAGTAACTTTTAGACATCTTGCCTAGTGCGACCAACTTTTTGGAGGCCATTGGTCGACCCAAAGACTTTAAAATTCGGCTACTGTATTTTTCTCCATGTATTTTCAAAGCTGTACCTACTCTTCAAAGTCGGATTTTGGCTCTACCTCGTTTTCAACGGAGAGCGACAGGGACTACCCGGGATACTGCTACCACAAACCACGGCAACACTATCCTCCTCCACCTCCTCCTCCGTGGAAATGGACCCTCTACCAGGCGAACAATCCTATAAGTTCCCCGAAGCCCCCCTGCTTCACTTTACCAGGAGAAAATGCTTACCAAGAGGTTCTACCCACCCCACCGGAGTCAAGATTCAACTCCGGCAAAGACTGTTTTCGGTACGGCGGCTCTGCTCCCCGTTTACCCTCACAGGCTTTCCCGGGAGACCAGCTGACTCTCCCCGGCAGATACACCACCTTCAACCCGGACTCACAGCTCCTCTATCCGGCAGCACGGAACAGCATCCTCCCCCCTGTTTTCGACCAGTTTTTGGAGAGTGCAGAAGAGGAAATGGATCAGAAAGTAGAGACAGTTCGACGAGAGAAGGAGACAAGTGGGGTCGAGTGGACGAGCAGTGACAGCGGGGAACGCAGCGAGGTGAAGGCGGGGTCAGAGTCACAGCAGCCGGGGAAAGAGGACGAGGAAAAGGCGCCGGTTTCCAGCGAGAGGGCAGAAGATAACACTCTAGTACCGAGTGAGTGAGTGAAAAAAATAAGACACCTAGCTTATTTCAAGAAAAGTAATGTCGATTTGGTGACCTAGTTTGGTTACCTGGTGCAGACGTGCAGCTTCACAAGAAATCAATAAAAACGAACTGGACTGAATATTTTGGCCCAAACTGAGGACCTGAGAATGACCCTGGTTAAGATCATTGTTTAGGCTAGAAAAAGTGCAGGACTGGCTAAAAACTGAACATCCTGCTATAGTCTTGTGTTTTTTGCTTTTCTGCATGATCCGTACTGACAACCGTTTTCAGACTAAAAGGCCCAAAGGCTTTGTGTTAATTCTGCAGGACTAGGCCAATCTGTGTGACTTTTTGCAGTGATGGCCACAAAAACACTGCAATCAACATCAAAACTCTGATATTTATATTTTGAAGTTTTTGTATACTCTAAGTTAGTGGTAAAGATGAGTGCACGTGCAAAGAGGACGATCATATATACCGTCTCCAACCTTGTCCTTCACATTCACTCAATACTATTACAAGTTATATAACCAGTCTTTTTAGAGTGATAACCATGATAACCTTATGATTATCCTCTCCAAGCAGAGTCCCGTGTGAACAGGAAGAAGCGTTGTCCTTACTCCAAGCAGCAGATCAGAGAGTTGGAGAGAGCCTTTCTCTTCAGCGTCTACATCAACAAGGACAGACGTGTGCAGCTCGCCCGCCTTCTGCGCCTCACAGAGAGGTGCGTGCAGGTTACAAAGGCAAATAAAGAAATAAGATAATATTCAGTCAATCAATATTTTGACCGTGAGAGGAAAACCCACTCTGTTGTTTGGGGGGGTTGACTGATAAGGCATTTGAAGCTATACCCTTGGTTACCCTTGGACTATGTGCAAGTTTGATTGGCAGTTACCCTCCAACACACACACACACACACACACACACACACACACACACACACACACACACACACACACACACACACACACCTCTTGACTGTAAAATGTAACAACACACCTCTTTTGAAACCTTGTTTTTAGCGAGGAAACCTGATGAGTTTTTACGTTACATCTCGTTTTTTCATATCTAAAAAGACACGATTTCTGAATTATATGCGGTTGATATTCAAAAGAAAAGTGGTAGGCCTATTATTTTCTACCAAAAATGTAATTGCAGCAGATACATACATATATTTTGCATTTGAGATACATTTGTAGGTCAATGAAATGGCTGAAACTATCGGTACTGGTCTGTTCTTAAAAGGCCGGAGGAAAAATAAACTAAAAGTCTGCAGACCATGTTAACAGCCCCACTGTTGCCTGTACAGTTACTTGATAGATGACATTTAGTGCAGTGTTATATGCATTTGTTATCCTATATTAGCAAGTTGGTAAATATTAACAAATTTATAGCCCATATATAAAAATCTGCTTTTGGACAGCCACTGCAGTAAATGCTGTCTTAAATGTAACACGCCACCACCGTCCTTTATAGATGTTACAGGTTTTAGCCCATCCGAAACGACGGCAGATCAGCTCAGAAACACTGGCTCGTGTTTAATACAAGTTCTGATACAGCATAGTCCCGTTAAATGTTGCTTCTGATTTATCATGTTCTGTGTGAAATCGGCCATCACCCAATGTATTTTTCAATTCCATACATTATGCTATCCATGTGAAACATGTCACTGGCTGAAACAGTTGTATATTAGATTATATATACATTAGATAATACGAGTATATGTATATGACTATTTTTCTGATTTGTTGTAATTATATTTTTGTACTTTATCAAACGCAAACAACAACGTCAGCGCATCATGTAGGCCTAACGGCCGTCGGCAGACCCGCTCTCTCAGTATTAGCATCATTGCAGAAATGATAGCCACTGGTTTGATTTACTTTAAAAAAAATTACAATAATTGAAACGTTTCTCTGTTTGCTCGTGTTGATCCAGACAGGTGAAAATCTGGTTCCAGAACAGAAGGATGAAAGAGAAGAAACTGAAAACCGAGAGGCTGCAGTACTACACCGGATACCATCTGTTCTGATGGACAAGGTTAAGAGAAAGAGGACGGTCTTTCTTTCTTTCTTTCTCTCTCCCCTTGTTGTTGTACACTTATTTCCTGTAAACACCGCAAATGTACAAAGACGGAAGGGATACCAAATGGCGAACCCCTTGGCTCAGGTCTAAGCCCCACGTTTCCCACAAAACCTTGCCATATATATATTTTTTTATCTTCTTATCTTTTCGAGACCTTCATTGTTAATAGTAAGGAGCTGGAATTGTATCGTGCAATTTTCACCATCAATTTCTTGAAGAAAAAAATCCATGTTAAAAGCACTTACAAGGGCATACTCTGCGTCCAATCGGCAATATGAGGATGATTATAAAAGGAGACAAAAAAAAAAAAAGACTTTCGTTCCTTTTCTCACCATGGAATTTAACATGTATCCATAAGTGTAGACGACCTATACTGATTATTCTGATTTTTCAAGCTTTTTTTTTCTTTGATCTACTACTTTTGTGTTTTTATAGCCAAAATATGACATAATCAGAAAGACGAAAAAGGTGCAATGTTCACACTACAGCTCTATCTGTGTACTTTGATATGTTTCATCAATTGATCTAAAAACAACTTTCTTGATCTGTATGACAAATATGTCCTTGCATTTACAGTTACATTTTGGAATGGATTTTTTAACCTTATTTTTTCTTCATAATATTTGTAATAAAATATTTGCCAATTGCTTAAAAAAATAGTCTGCTGTTTTTGAAGGACTCCAGTGTTTTCTGTTTGATTTTGAAGAATAAAAATGACCAGTTCTAGGTAAAGATTTCATGGTTTAAAATTCTGACTTCACTTTTGCAATACTCAATTATCCAGGTGAAGAGGGACTGGGTTGGTCTGAGTGTAAATTTGACGAACAGTGTGTTTTTGAAATAACTTCTTATTCAGAATATGACAAAATCTGACTTCTCATGGATGTTGACTTGAAGTTAGTTGACTTTTATCATTTGCTAGCAGTCGAGGGTGAAAAACTGACATGGTTTGGATCAACAACCCAAAGTTAGAACACAAAATTAAACCTGGAAGAATGAATGCAAAAGTAACCAGGGTTTTTCTCTTGAAGGTTCGTGTGTGTGTGTGTGTTTGAATGCATAAAAACACATTTTAATAAAATCAGCTGTCTGTAAAAGAAAAAAAAAACTTAGAAAGGATCACAAAGAAGTGTGTTGTTCTCCAAATTGTAATTACTAACCAAGCAGTACAAGACTAATTGTAGCTTAAATATGAATTCAAGCCTCATTATAATGAAGAAAATAATAATCCAAAGCAGTGACCGGCCTGTTGTGTTTTCCCACTAAGGAGTTCTGACCCAGACTTTGAACAACTTTGCAGCACCAGACAACTGAAACTCAGTGAGTCCAAGGCTGTAAGTGAACCTTGAACCGCGAAACAACAACCACAACACCACACAGCACCACCACCACAGTCACAACCACCATTTCCTCACCCTAAAGACTTTTATTGGGGCAATACAGACTGTCTGCTGTCTCCCTTCTTTTGTCTAACACACTCGCCCTGTCTGTGTGTGTGTGTGCATGTGTGGGGGGATGCTGTGCATGAGTGTGTATTTGTCTGTGACGTAAAAAGAAATACAAGAGGATGAAAGGAGATTGTGTGCCTGGTTGGAAATGAAGCACTCAACCTAATGGCCTACTATAAACCGGACCAGAAGCCTGCTGAGCCTCTTTTTACACCAACACTGGCACGTTTCACTCTGTTTCATCTCAATATATACAACTAACTGTGACGCAGTAATCTAAATTTTCTGTAAGACGTAAATAATGGAGGACTAAGGTGGGGAAAAAGTGTTTCTCCTTATTTAGAAGAAGCAAGAAAGGTGACAAATAGGATGTTTTTGTCACAAAAAGTGACGAAATAGGAGAACTATTGAAGAGAGCATAGAGGGGACACTGTAGGTTAAATCACTAGTAAGAGATAACATAAGATAACTCTTTATTCGTCCCACAAGGGGAAATTCCAAATTTATAGCAGTGATACATAAATAGGATATACAAAAAAAGTAATTAAAGAATGAAGAAACTTAGGAGTTAAAAGATACTAAAAAACTGTATAAAATGACTGTCTTGTGGTTGTAATCGTTCTAATATCAACAAGCACCAGAGCTAGTTTTTGCAGTTACAGTAATAACAGTCTTGTGAGGAAAACTATTAAATTTGTATTAACTTTTATTTAGTTTATTAGCATCAAATAATGTAATATTAAAATATTTGTTGATGTTATAAACTCTGCTGTTAGTGGAAATGTGAACAGAAAATGACAAATACAAATATTGATCTGGTCTACACATGTCTAGAATTTGCTGTCCCCTTTAAATATTTTTATATATGACATTCTGTTCTGCTCACTCATATGTTAGTCGACTAAATTACAAATAATAATTTACACAAAAGCCTGTTTAACTGAATTGGGGCCTCAATGTCAGCAGTAAATTTCAACAATTTTTATAAACATGTTAAATTGCAGACTAAACGTGAAAATGTTTTTACTTAGTTCATCTCATTGTGTTCCTTAACTTATTGGTACCAGCTTTTCACAGAGGTCTCAAATTAAAGTGTCCCACAGGCACTACAGGAACAGTCATATGTACACTGCCACCTAGAGGAAGTCACTGTAGTTACAAACATGCGGTGCAACTCCTTGATCCTCCAAATAAACTTAATGATGCCCTGATTTATGTCTTGCTTCATTTTTAATTCACGGGCGTTGACAGAGTTTATACAAGTTGATAATGTGCTAAATAAAAGAGATGCAGTAAAGTTGTCTTCCTGCTGACACACTCCAGAGCTCTTTGGGCTATTAAACTTTTATGATTATAGGCCTTATTGAATGTTGTCAAAGGGTGCTGATCAAAGTTGAGATCAAGCATTTCAAAAATAGGTAGTCTAAGGAATCTATAATAATAACTCTAGCATTTATCAAGAAAACAGTGATTGAGATTTGAGTATTCAGTTTATTTTGTTTAGACTTGGCCCTCATATTGTATTTTCCAGAGTTATGTTTATATCTAACACATTTTTGAGTAGTCTTCCACTGGCCTGAATTCTATAAAATGCAGTCTGAAATGTAAGGAAGACACGGGGTATTTATGACCACACTCACTATCACGTTTTATGAATTCATCCTGCTTTAGCTCATTCACCCAGCAGATGGCGCTTGAGGAGCGTAAATGACCGATCAAGTTCTATGTTAAAATAGAGGAAACTATATAAAAAAACGGAGATTTAGTATTTCTTTTTAGCCACACCTCTCTCATGCTCGTCATAGCCTACCCTCCAACAACCAATAAGATTTCACTTTCACACACACACAAAGATGGAGCCATTGGCGTGGAGTTGAATGAGGTGTTGGACCAAAGGCAGGACAGGGTTAGATCTGTCGATTATTTTTTACAGGGAAGAAAGTTTTTGCGTCTTTTGACTAGTTCAGTAACATTTCACTAATGAAATAGGCCTATCTATCTATCTATCTATCTATCTATCTATCTATCTATCTATCTATCTATCTATCTATCTATCTATCAAGAAGTAGCTCGAAAAATAAGTTAATAAATTGAAAGAAAAAGTAAAAAGAGAAAAAAATAGGTTTCTAGAGGAAACATTACAACCAGGGCAATATCACAATCTCAAGTCCATCTAAATGCAACATAGTCTTTACCCTATGTCCTGATAAGAAGTACTGCTTAAAGCCGATTTGTACCAACTCCCCATATTATCATTCAGATCAAGATCCATGATCCACACAAAGAAAAACCAAAGCCCAGCTCTCCTCTGTTAATGTCAACCCAGTTACCCTGTACACGCGCACACGCACCCTTCAAACAAGCCTGTAAACGCCCCCCTCCCTGCTACATTTTATTCAGCTTGTAAAACGGTGTTTCAACTACAGAGTTTTTTAAAAGCTTAATGCTACATTCAGGGCCAGCTGGCAGCAGGCTAGCAGGCCTACTGTCACATATTTAAGCACAAAAGAATCATTAGATTTATCTCCTATACTGGGTAAATACAGTCCAACCATGTGATCCAAAGATTAACCAATGGGCAATCGAGAAGAAGGTAAGGGCAAGAAAAAAAATTACTACCATTTTAGGGGAGGATGTAAGCCACTATACTAGCCCATCTAAGGTTTTACAGTCGCACTTAAGTGTCTTTTTATTGAAATAATAAAATAAACATGTCGCTAACGAATTATTATTCCATGATGGGGCTCCAGACCGAGGAGCCGTACGGTGCACATTTCATCCCGGGAGGCTTGCAGGGTTCGACGGCCGGCTGCGCGAAGCCAGCCCGGGCAGCAGAAGAGGAGGAGGGGACCCCCGCCTCACACATTCCGGATTTCTCACATTTTTCCAACAAACAACCCAGCTTAAACGGCTTCTCTCCCTGGACAAACACCTCTACATCCTCTTCGTCCTCTTCCCCGCAGCTGCAGTCCACCCCCGGTGCCTCCATCCCCGGCCTTTTCCATCCACATCACCTCCTGAGCCACCACCACCACCCGTACTATGGCCCACAGACACAGCAAACCCACGCCGAGCAGCTCGCGTCTTCGGCGGCTACCGAAAGTAGATTCGTCCGCTGCTGGGAGGGTGCGACCTCTGCCTCGGATACCTCTATATCACATGCTTCGACCGGGTTTCCCGGGTGTCTCCCAGCCCAGGGTGACCTCTCCAATCCGAGCCCGAGGTACGAGGCGGTGAAACCCGAGAGCTCACCGCCACCTCACGAGGACAGTCCCGAGGATTCTAGTTTCGGCAGCCCGGCTGAGGTGGTCCTCGAGAGGCTTGGCACGGTGGAGGAGCTCGGGAGGAAACCGGAGCCCAAAAAAGAGGACGAGGAGAAAAAGCCACAACCAACACTTGACCCGGGTAAAAGATATAGCCTATTGCAAACTTTGGGATGTTTATTAGCATGTGCATACACAGGTGTGTGTGAGTGTTTGCGCGAATGGGTGTGAGTGTGGTCAGAGAGGGAGAACGCGGCCTAAGTAGAAGTAAGTAAGTGTGTGTGACTTTTATAGCCCAATAAATGTCTTGTAAACGGTCAAATATAAAACTTTATAGTCCATTAAAATAATTAAGCTGCTATTGCTTTTATTTGACTATTTGTCACGAGATAGAAAACGCAGATAGGCTCGCGCTGCGTTTGTGTGATTGGATTTGTGCAGGATTTTGGGGTTAATTTGCATTTATTTGACAGCGAGGAAATGACCAATATTGCTAATAGATCTAATTTTGTTCAGCCATTTAATTTTCTTTTCCTCTTCTTCTTTTTTTTTAAACAGACAATAATGTTGATATTGCAGCATGCATGACCCAGCCAAAGCACCCCAACAAGCTAAATGCTCATTAAAAACCCCGTACACATAGACTATCTTTCAAAGGCCTCCACAGAAAGGTGGATGGAGTAAAGAAAATGATAAAAAAATTAACATAGGTGAAGCAGACAGTATATTGACCTTTGGCTTTTAAGATGAAACACGAATGATTTTAATGTTATGTAAAGGAATGTTTGGTAAATGCATTTAATAATATCAAAATAGCAAACAGCAGAGCTTTTTTAACCTCTATAGTTTGTGTTTGAATTAATTTATATATTTTTTTCATACTGCCATGACTAAGCAGAGTGCCTCTTATTATTAGATTAAGATTACAGATAGAGTTCTTTGATAACTTAAAGTCCAGCTCACAGAAATAACGTTAAACTGAAGGAAAATCCACAAGCCAATGGAGCCAGTGTTTTAGTATTAAACTGTAATATACTTCCTGGTGACTTATGGAGTGTCCCTGAAATATATGACTCTCCCGCTGTTTCTGTTTTTCTGATTTGTCCAGTTAGATAGACCGGACAAATCAGTCAAAAGTTCAAACAGATGTTTTAAACTGCAGCGCATCCTGACTGCCAGAACCCACACAGAACCGGCTCGATTGAACAGAGTCTGCTGCCTCTGTCCCTACTTGCTGTCATCTCCTCCAAATTTCCACATTATATAGTTCATTGCAATATCAGAAACCACAAACATGAATTAACAAATGCCATGTTAAATAGAAATGAAATGAAGGAGGGATGAAATGAGGGCACAATAAGTGTAGTCATAAATTTCTGTTATTGTTTTGTCATTGTTGTAAGGATGAGTAATCACTGAAGTATCTGTATTTTTATATGCTGTCCTAAGGAGCTGTGTTTGGAGTGTGTGTGTTATTGTTTCTTTTCCTAATGAACCAAAAGTTTCAGCCTCATAAAACTAGTTCCGGAGGATATTTTGTAAGATTTTTATGTCAGTCTTTGAACTTCTTACAACACACACACCAAAGCCAACCCCCCACCCCCACTCACTCTCTCACACACACACACACACACACACACACACACACACACACACACACACACACACACACACACACACACACACACACAGAACATAAATACCCTGCTGCAGGGTAAAAGTGAAAATCCATGCCACCCTGTTTCTTCCTCTGCAGAAAATCCATCAGCCAGCTGGATCCACGCCAAGTCGACCCGGAAGAAAAGGTGTCCATACACCAAACACCAGACGCTGGAGCTGGAGAAAGAGTTTCTGTACAACATGTACCTGACCAGAGACCGGCGCCTGGAGGTGGCAGGACTCTTAAATCTGACAGAAAGGCAAGTAAAAATCTGGTTCCAGAACAGACGGATGAAGATGAAGAAGCTGATGACCCGGGAGAGGAGGAGTATGAATGAATAAATGAATGAATGAATGAAGGAAAGACTTTGGAGAAGAGGCTAGGGTTGTTGTTTTTTTTTTTAAGAATTCACAGGTCAGGTTAAAGCTGGTAAAAGTGCATCAAGACGCCCCAAATCTTCAACCGCAGCTGGCTAGATCAGCTATTACAAAGGACTGTGGAGCAAAAATGGCTGCCTTGGAAGACTGCAGTATTCAGACTCTGCAGAGGAGACCAAGATGTAATGCAACACTCTTTTTCAAGAATATATCCCTATCAGTGTCTTTTTGGCCTTTTCATGTTCAGTCCTCTGAACTCTGGCGGAGACTTTCTCCATCTGCATGTTACAAAATAAAGACAGTCAACCTGTATCCTGGGGTAGTTGTAAATAAAGCTCAGAACTGCAGCAAGATCCATAAAGTGAGTTTAAAACACACACACTATTTGTATGAAAGACGAAGCTCTTTTCAACAACATGTGTTTTTCATTAGAATATACATCCACCATACCTAAAACCGAAACTACTCGACACACACTTGACTCCACATAAATTGTCTTGTGCTTTCTGCCAGAATAGGAATTTTGTTTTATGATTTAGTGCTAAAACTATCGTCCTCATAAAAAGTACTTTCAGTGTGCCAGATGAGACTGAACTGCAAGGCGGCTATCAAAGATAAATCCCATGAGTGATTTTATGAGCAAACACCTGTCTGTTAGGTCCTGAAAAACAGTTTCAGAGTGTTTATATGACATTAAAATAAAACACCCTAAGATCAAAACCCTAAACAAACAAAAGTCTGACACTTACAATAAACTATTGCCCCAAAGAGACGAGAGCAGGACAAAATTGGAGAGATTAATGTCTGAGATTCAGCAGTATCTAATGGAAGAAAGAGAATATTAGCTGTTGATTTATTGAACCCTTTGTTGGCCCCAAGTCTGGGGGAAATATAAGATTATTCTTGGACTACAATGCTGAAACATGAAGTCATGTGCATTTTTACTGCAGTTGGACTTAGTATAAATATGCTGCAATTCAGTCTTCATACCTCTGATAATGATATCAACCTTTCAAAATGTTCGTCTATTTCATTTCAAGTGTCCAACGACATGTGCAATGTGAACTGGTTGTCTTAACATTAACACACGGTCAGAAAGTTGATACTTGAACATGATTAATGAGGGGCTCAATGTGCTTCTTTGCAAATGTAGCTGTTTCTTGGACCAAAATCGTAAGAGGGGAGATCTTAAGAGCTCAAATTTCCAGTATTGTGCCACTGTAAGGTATAAATGAACTACTTCAGTGAATAAATTATTCAGTATGGCATCCTCTTTCTGATAGAAAGCTGATGAGGCAAACAAAAACAGTAACAAAAACAAAGTAAGATGCTACAATCATGGCTATAAATCAGCCGTTGCTAGCAACTTCAATGCTAGGCAGTCTTTTCTTTTGTAATGTAAGTAAATAAACAAAAAACAAACAAAACTTATGATTTATGAACAGTTACTACAAACTGCATATGTGCCATCCCTAAGATTTTACAACTGGTTTGAAAAAAATTAGGCATTGTGCAAAAATTCACAAAATTTGGGGGTAGGGAAATTCAGTACGTGTGCATATTAATGTAGAAAAGGAGTTAGATTAGTTTTAGGGTTAAATAGCCTTACCTTGAATTACCTCTGATTTGAAATGTCAAAAATAACATACGAAGGTGGAAACAACCAATTCTGATTTGTACGCATTTTTTTTTCAAATTCAGAGAGGTAGTTTTAACTTCAGTGTGAGCGATTTAGGAATGGAAAAATACGCCAAAATGTGCCCAACTTAACTTTATATAAACAAGCAAATGACAGAAAAAAACACAAACAAAACACTATTTAAATCAAATATTCAGTTGTGTTCAGGTAAGATTTTCTGTCCAGGAGGCCTTTTCACATTGAATTGAGTTGTGATATTATCTTACTTCTGATTGGAGAAATCCTCTGAGTTACAGCTGACCCCAGTCTCCCCTACACTAATACCATAAAGGACACTCAAATCATTTCACTCCTCAAAAACAGAATAAGCTTTCTTGTTTTTTTTTTCTTGTTTTTATTTGTTATTTTTTATTTTATTTTATTGTTTTAAATAAACTGTGCATGTAGCCTAGAGGGCATATTTGTTGTTATTGTTGTTATTGTTGTTGTCATTGTTGCTATGTATCTCTGTTGTTACTGTGAGTCTAATACGCCGATACAGTATGGTCAAGCCTGCATTCCTCTCTCTCTCTCTCTCTACACACACACACACACACACACACACACACACACACACACACACACACACACACACACACACACACACACACACACACACACACACACACACACACACACACACACACACACACACCAGTCATCGCTAAGCTATGGTGTGACAGCAGCCTGATGGTTTTTTCCTGTTTTATTGTTACCTCCTGTAAGAATCAACTGAGAAAACGACTTCATAGAAAAAAAAACGCACAACCCAATTTTCATTTCAGATTGTACAATAACATCAAGTGAAGATATTATAGGAATACTATAGTGATCATTTAGTGCGTTTTATTTCTCTTTTCAAATGAGTGGAGTGGACTCAAAGACAAGTTTTCTATGGGACAAAAATAAAAAAAAACACGAGGCCATGTTAGTGTCAGCTGCTGCAGGCCTGTACTGCGATGTTTCTGCAGTCATGATGTGATGAAATGATGCCTTCATCTGCTCATTTAGGCTCAAAAATGCTGCTCGTGGGGATCTCTTTTTTAAAGAAAATAAAGAACATCAGTATTGTTAATAATAAGTCGTGTTGTTGTTGTTTTTTCTGGACATTTTTAAGCAATTTTATGATTTTTTTATTTTTTGGATGAATTAGTCTCGGGCTTTCTGAGACCTCGCTTGTTCAGTTTCAGCAATACCTCTAACAACGACACACAAATGCGTCTACTACGATGAAATTGATCATAATGCCAGCCTACACCCTATTCTCCAACTACGACATAATTACTAACAGATAACTAACAATGGTTTAATGAAAATACAGTTTTTAAGCATAATATAGTTGACCTAAAAATAACATTTTTTTTCACAATATTTGCACACTTACCTCTTTTGTGATATCACGACTATAACATGTACTAACAACTACTAATATGCACTGTTGGCATGTTACACAAAGAAAATGACTCCTATAACGTCAATTTAACAACCATAACACTTACAATGATGATATTAATCATTATTATTATTACTATTAAAAACTCCAACTACAGCTATTTTTTTCCTTAGAACTTAAATCTTTATGTGTAATAAATATGTATATAATTAATTTATTAAGATTATCTCCTGTTCTACATATTCAGACATCTTCGTTTGTTATTATTAAGTATTAAACGCTTCAAGGGAATTCAACAAAAATATTGTAACAGAGCAAAACCTCCGCACTTCTTGTGATAATGGCTAAGTGTTGACTTTTTTATTGTGGTTTGATCCGACGTAACAACATCAGAAAATCTAATGCCATCTCACTGGATTCTGCACCAATAGTTGGATTCTGATTTCATTATCGGATAGTCAGGGTATCTGACAGCTCTCAGGTATGTAGTCTGAGTTTTGGGTCCACAGAGAGACATTTCTGCCTCTTTGTTTTGTCAAAGTCAGAGCAGAGCTTCACAGCTTCCCTCATTTATAGCCGCCATATAACCCAGCCTGCGCTCATCCTACTGCAGGGTCATAAAGCAACAGCATGCATTTGGAGAATAAACGTGACTTTCCCCACACTGAGACAGAGACAGAGGGAGAGAGAGAGAGAAAGGAGATAGAGAAAAAGAGAGAGAGAAGAGCCATAAAGTCATTTAGCCCAGACAGCCTCAGTGAGTATATGGTTTTATTGGACACTCTTTCCTGCCTTGGAGCGTCAACTGTCTTTCTAAATGTTAAAGTCATTGTCCGCAATGAAACCAGACAGCCTCAATCACAGTTCCACTCTCGAGAAGCACAAAACACAGGAAATTTCACTACACACCAGATTTAAACAAAAGCGATTTGGTCTTGTGAAGGTTTGGGTCTGGGTGTTTGCAAATAAGACAACTTTACGCAGGTCCATGGTTTAAAGAAAGGGGAAGAGAGTAGCCACAGCACTGGGCCTTTAATGATTTAAAACTGAAACGTAAAATTCAAAATTCCCCTTTTTCTTTTCATTGACTGTAGAGAGAGAAATGAAAAAATACACAATTTCTTATTTCTCATTTCTAGAAGGGAGAGTCACTGCTGCATTTTACGCACGCGGTGTGTGAGGCTTCCTTAATTTGGACCGATCGCTCCACACTCGCTATAGGAGCCCTCTAAATTCCACCTAAGATTGGGCCTATACGACAACAAAGCCTCTAAATATAAATTCCCCTTTACATCCAGATTTTTAAGGATGGGCCTTAGCCTATTAGGCGTTTTTACTTCCACACTGATGGGCAGCAAAAACATAAACCAACATTAAAAAAATAGGTAGACTAAATAACACATTGCTGGAAAATGAGCAACACAAACAGGGTATATACCATCGTGCTTGTGGTGAAATAAAATGGTCGCGAACAGTTATGTCAGACACAACCAGTAATGAGGCCTATTTTTGTGCCAGAATTAAAGATGAAAGACTATTGTTCACATTATAACCCAGATTAAATGTTGCTCCTAAAACAATGACTGCAATCACATCAAAGGGATCCACTGCGGTGGTATTAGACTGTAAAACTAATCCTGCAAAAGGATTCATTTGAAAGAGAGAAAGAGAGAGAGGGGAGGCCGTGCAGCAAGGCGGCAGAGTTTAGTAGCCACCATGCTTCATTGGATGTGTAATTTTGACAGCTGAGAGGATCTATAGCGGTAAATAGGACTGCAACCAACCAAATACCGTGTTTTCTCCACGGCGTCCTTTCAAACAGATGATCAGCGTGGGATGTAAGAGTGGATTTAGGCTACATAATGAGGAGCCGTATTTTGCATTGAATTTCTC